CTGATCATTAAAAAGAAAATTCTGACCAGATTCAAGATCATTCGACGATCTAGATGTATTCGAAAGTATCCTATCGATCTTCTCGATAATATTATACAAACGACTGGTGCTACGACTTTTCAATTGTTCTTCGGTTTCTTTCAATCGTCGCAATTTTAACTTCGCACTCTCGTACTTCCCTTCATTTTGAAAAATATTCACAATCGTCGAATTACGACTTAGAGGAGTTCGATAACTATTTAATTCTTCATTTAATAATTCCTGTCGTCTACCACTCGACATTGATCTTGATCTTTCTTTAATAGAGACATTTGGAAGATTCAAACTCAGATCAACTCTATAATCACCAATTCCTGTGTCAGCTTCCGTCATCATCGACAAACCTATATTCATACCTGTCGAATTCTTGTCGAACTTTAAAATTCTAACTTGAGCAGGACTACCAAAACTTGAGAATGCTAATACATGATCGTATGGATGATAATCAACGCAAGTTATTGCTCTAAAGGTTCGTTCGATCGTATATCTTGCTAAATATCTACCAGTTTCTAAATTCCAGACGTTCAAAGTTGAATCTTCTCCACCACAAAATATTAAACCACCACAAGGCGAAATACAAGCTGTAGATTGTATTCTATGGCATAATTAAAATTAATTAATTCATTATATTAACATCTTTAGAATTAAAAAGAGAAGAAAGAAATACCTTTGGTTTTTCAAACCATCGTACTTTTGTAATACTACATCAGCAGCAAGATCTATCATTCGTAGACCATTGTCTCTCGAATGAACGAGTAATCTTGATTCGAGCGGATGTAAAATAATCGCATTTATCGTAATGTTCTCTATTTCGCGAATGTTTATCTTCTTCGACAAATACCATTCTTTTTTAGAAGACATCCTACGATTTTTTTTCACTGACCATAGTATTATCGTACCAACGCTGTCAGCTGTAAGAAGATTACCATTCTTTTGAAAGCACAAAGAATTAACAAATCCCTCGTGTGTCTCTAATTCTTGGCTCAGTTCGTAATTCTTTGATTTTAAATCTCTCGTCCATATTCTTGTAATACGATCGTAACATCCCGTAGCTATTATCGACACGTTTCTACGATTGAATTTACCACAGTAAACGTAGGAAGGATGAGGTAACATCTGAGAAAAATTTTATGAAATTTTGTAATTTATATAATAGAAATATCATAGAAAAAATATATATGCCCTTCCACCCTTCTCTCTCTCACTTTTTTTCTCTCACTTTCTTTTTCTGTGTGTTAACTCACTCGAATATGTTGTACAATTTTATTACGAACGTCCCATATACGAGCAGTTTGATCCGATGAAACAGAAAGTAGATAATGATCATCCGGCGACCAGTTTAATGAATATACGAATGTTTTGTGTCCAGAAAATCGAACATGAACTTTATTAGATTCGATCTAAAATTCAATCAATTTTATAAGAGATTCCTTGGAATCAATAAATTATACACATTCGTTACGTTATACCTCATATACTATTATAGGATAATCATATTCTTCAGAAAAAACGCAAGCTAAATATTTGCCATCATTATTGAAAGCAAGAAAGAAACACCCATTTTCACTAATCTCAGTTTCAAAGTATTTCTCATTTGGTATTTTACAAGATTGAGCAGCCAATCTTGTCCATCTTGGTAAATTAATTAATTCTGATGATTGTACCGATAACTTATGTGATTCGTTTCCGATATCTAAAATATCGTCAAAAGAGAGCTGCTGATAAAGTACTGGTTCTAATTTTGGCGGATTTATAGATGTAACAGTGACATAAAGACTACTTGGATATTTCTCTCTTCTGTTCGATTTCCACCAATTGTAAACCTATTAAAAAGATTTCATTGAAAGCTTTGTTCGAAAAAAGAAAAAAAAAAATAATAATAATAATAAAAATATCTAATTCTTTCTTACTTCACATTTTCTTGAACCAAAGTTCCTTGTACTCTTCTGAGGTCTGTATAATTGCAATCTGATCTTTTTATCAATGTGCATCACGTTATTCGTTCCAACTGTTTTTAAAAATGCCCAAGCTATTTTATACCAACAACCTTCGTTACCTGTTCGCCAAAATATCAATAAAATAAATTCAATTATTATAAAAGATAATTGTTTTTAAAATTGAACATGATCATGATTAAGAAACTTGCCAAACCTATCGTAGTTGAAGCTAGCTTCGGCAAAGCTCAAAAGATCAACAATTTCGAAAAAAAGGATAACTTGTTCATTTCCAATCTTCACGATCGTTTTAAAATCGTGTTCAAAAATAATTTCTTCTTCCCAAATAGGTATCATCGACCTGTTCTCCTTGAAATCAAATTTTCCAGTAATCATCGGCTGGACATACGAACTTCCACTGTCATTTTTATTTTTTAAATAATTACCAGTCTCTGCTTCAACGATATGTACTTTAACCATAGGATGTTTAGTCACATAATCGGTCTCAAGCATGTCAGCTTTGTGAATCGTAATTAGGATGTACTTTATCGGTTCACTTTTTTTCTTTTTTTTCTTCTTCCTTTTCGAATCCAGCTCGTTCGCTAAATAACGAATTTCTTCTTTAGATCTACGATCTTTTTTCTTTTTATTTTCAGACAAAGTTCTACCAGTCGATATTCTTGATGACAATTCTTCTTCTTCTTCTTCTTCTCCTTCTTCTCCTTCTTCTCCTTCTTTTTCGTTAGTTGAAAAACTTTCTCGACTCGAGTATTCCATAATTTTTTTCTGTCTTTTTAATAACTCACGATCATCATTAATTAACTCATCCTCGGATACCGTACATCGATTATTTGATATTTCTTCTAAACTATTTGATACATTCGAGCGAAGAGAATTTTTTCTTTGTCTTCTAGACAAATGTAACGTCTTTTTTATCGATGACGAAGAAACATTAATATCGGAATCTTCAGTATTTTCTAGAGTCGACGTTGTTTCCTGTTTTCTCGGAGAAGTTCTCTTAGAGAAATTATTTCTTGAATCTCGAGATGAGGAAGGTGTATCCATTCGATCACTCATCCTTCTCATCTCAATTTTCGTGTTATCTTTAACATAATCTCTCTCAATTCTCAAAACTTCTTCGTTCTCCGATACGAATGCTTCATTCTCAAAAGCAAAACGTGAATTTTGTTTGTCCGTCGAGAATGATCTTGGAGCTGGTACCGGTATCTTTGAACTTTCTATAGTCTTTGAAATTTTCTCATTAATCGATGAAGAATCTAAAGTTTCTGGTAAACGAATAACGCTGGTATCTTTGGACCAACGTTTCCTTGGTGGCTTTTTTAAATTTGTAACTTCGTTCATAACAGGACGTACTGTCTCCCATTGTTTCCTACGACGTGGTTTATCTTCGAATAAATTTTGCGAAGATCTCGATGATAAAATAGGTGTTGAAATTATTTCTTCCTCGTTGTCCTCGAATTCATCAATCGAATCTATTACAAAATTATCCTTCGTTGCAACTTTTATTTTTTTCTTTGATTCCTTTTGAGAATTACTACCTAAAGACAAATCTTCTATTTCTGATACTTCGATCGATTTGGATTCGAAAATATCAATCTTATTTTTTAATGATTTTATCGGTATTGTTTCTTCGTAATGTTGATGAACGTCCACAACGACATCGACAGATTTTAAATTGTTAGATCTTGTTAATTTTTTTCTATTAGCAACAAAGGAAGAAGAGTTTGTTCTTTCTTTCATATCAGATCCGTTGCTCATAGAATTTGTCAGAGAATCATTTAAATCATCTTCTTTCGAATTGAGCAACATTTTACGATCATTAGTTTCGAATGCTTGTATAGTTCTTTTCTTCTCTGATTTTTTTCTTTTAACAAGTGACCATTGGCCTTCCACTTCACTTTCTGATTTACTTGCATTTTGATCAGACGTCCAGTCAGAATTACGTACTAATCGTGTCTTATCTTTCTCCGACATTATAAAACTTTTGATTATTTTTTTTTGTTTTTTTATTTGAATTTTTTTACAATAAAATACACTTATTTACCGACTCTTCATCTCAGCAAATTACGTATCTAAAAAGTATTATTATAAGTCATTATCTTTATCACAATAAAAATGTATATATATTTTATAAGCATCAACGAGTCTTACAATTAAAATTTAGAGCAATTTTCTTATCACTGATATATTTCTCGTTATTCTTAGAATATTGAATTTGTTTTGAAAATTTATAGATAGAGTATACATTTTTTTCTAATATTTTAAATAATCGTGAAACTTTATTTTACAATAGTATTTTTATTTATTGATAAAATGGTTAACACTTTGACAGGCGACACACCAACTGCATGGCCTACAAGAACTTCACTCACGTTTATCCATACTACGCACGGAAACGTGAATAGATCGATAAACGGCAGGTGTTTGCTACTGTCGTATGTGGAAACCCGTATTGATTATAATACACTTATAATCCACTTATTTCTCTGACATCAAATAAATTTCAACTTTATTATTAAAAAAAAAAAATTTATTCGTAGGAAAGTACGATTAAACACAATAGACTTTTTCCTTTCTATATTTATTAATCATATAATTGTATATAGACTACAGTAATTAATCTAATTCGCTTAGATAATAACTGTATTACCGTTTATGTTATTGTTATTTAGTTCAACGTCGTTTTCTGCGGATCGTCTCGCTTTTTCCTGAAAGAAATATTAATGAATATTTGTACAAATATATTTTTTCTAAAAAAGTAATATTTTTTAATTAGAAAGATAATTAAAACTTTGAATTTTACGTTACATCATATATATAAGTACAATATAAAATATATAAGAAAACGATAGAGAATTCAAATAAAATATAAAATTCTTACTGCTTCTATAATATTTATATAATCTTGTTCACATTGTTCTATCAATGTATCTTTCGAACTTAAAACATTTTGTTTCAAATCCTCATGATTATTACTTTTCGAAGGATCATTCATAATTTCTGAATCAACGTTAACGCGAAGAGACTTCATTTTCAATCTTATTTCTCTGTTCTTTGCTTCGATTACTTTTTCCCTACGTGTTTCTCTATCCAATAGCTAAAAAAAAATATATATATAAATAAATAAATTTATATATAATAAAATAATCTGAAAATTACTTTTATAAATATAAAAGTATACTTTACTGCTGTTAATAATAATTTATCATTTTTATGATTGATCTTTAATGCTTCTGATAGTTCAAGTAAATATATTATACCATTTCTACTAGCAACAGCAACTAATTGTCCTTGTTCATGAGGTCTTACACAAGTAAGAGCATCGTCGCATACCTAATAATTAAAATAATTTAATATTTATTAAAATTTATTACTATTAAAAAAAAAAACAAAAAAGACGTAACCTTTATACTAAGAACTGGAGAATCTTGCTGTATAAGCAGGTCCCATACATCCAAAGTTCCATCAATTTTGATCAAGAAGAAAACAGAATATCTTGTTGCACTCCATGAACCACCCATTAAAAATTGTCGATGGCCTCTAACAAAATGATCAATCGAAATAATATAATTTTATATATATCACATTTATAATATAAATATAGCAAATATCATACTTACGGAGTCCAAGCAATACAAGATTCTCTACAATCTTCAGACCATATTCTAGCTGTCCAATCGCCAATAGTTAAAAAATTTTTAATGAACGTAGGATTCCTCTCTAAACCTATTACTGGACCATATTGAACTTTAAATCTAACTGCTAATTTTTCACTCGGTGTTTTCCCTTTACGATTTGCAGATATTACCATACCTTAAAACAACAGGATTAAATATAATTAAGATAATAATTAAACGATTAATAAATTAAGATTGTATGATTAATAAAAAATAACCATTTTCTAGACCACACATAAATCGTGAACTCATAGAAGGTTCAAATTGTAACGCGGATATGCCAGTCGCCCGATCAACATTTTGATTTTCTGTTTTCTCTAAATCTATTACCAAAGTTTCAGTAGGTACTTTCATTTTTCTTGTATCCCACCATTTGATCTATAATATAAATAAAAACATAAAAATCAATTATTCAATTTATCAATATCATTACATATACATATACTTTTTTTTATAATATATTAAACCTGTCCATCCTTTGAAGAACTAAAAAATTCTGTTCCACTTTTAGAATTTATCCACAAAACATTATCACATGGATCTCTATGACTTTGATTGACTGAACTAACTTCATTAGGTTCAGATCCTTTTCTTATATCCCAAAATGCTACTTGCCCAGTCATTAAACCACCAACTAAGACATTATTATCTTTAGAACTATATTCTAAAGTTAAAATCGGACAAAATGGCTTTAAAGTCATAAATGGACTACCTGGATTCTCTGCAAAGTAATCATTTTATTCTTCTCTTATTTCTGTATAGTTTAATATTAATATAAGCAGTCACAAACCTATATCCCAAATATATGATGTAGTACTAAAATTCATTATATTTTTAAAATCAGTATTACAATAACTTGCTACAAAACGAGTTCCTTGATCAGGTGACCATGAAACATGTGTTATCTGACGTTTCATTGTTAAAGGATCACGGTATACATTCACGGTACGGGAAAATGTTCTTTGTATCAATGATGTTGCTTCTATATCATTGAAATATTGTTCATAAATATCACATACATTATTTTGTAAAATGCAATGTTCCATTGCCTGAAAAATAAAAAAGAAAAGGATGCAAAATGTAATAAATTATTTTTTTTTTAAATCTTATTTATTTTCAAATAATCTTATAATTGTTATAATTACAGGTAATAACTGCAGCATAGTATGAATATATAGCTCATCCTTTTCTATCTTCCGTCTATATCTAACAGTTTGTTCCATCTCTTTCGTATTAATATCTTTTGGCCAACCACCCTCATAATGATACATTCCATTATTTCTATACGTTACAGTATTTGTATTTACCTATAAATAATTATTCATTTGGTTATCATTTCTATTTATTTATAAACATGTATCAATTTATATATCAATATATATATACATATACCTCATGAGCAGCATATACTTTGCTGTACTGGGTGCTTCGTGCAACAGAATTAATATTATTATGCATCAGTGCTGGGTTTGACTGAATCTAGATTTATATTATCAAATTCTGAAAAATTACACGGTCTAGCAAATTGCAAATGCTTTTTTATAATGTATATTAAAAATATACATTATAAATATCCATAGTAGTTTCCTTTCTGAAATTAAACTGAATACCACTTATCAATAATAAAATAAAAATTGTTTACACCGAGATTACTTCTTTTTTATTCATATTTTAAAAATTATTTATAAAAAAAATATACTCATTAAAAATTATAATTGCATAAGAAACAAAATTTGTGAATACTATCACACAGTACGTATAAGCATACTTGTTATATCAACCATACTATTTGATTCATGGTTGTCTTAGCAACTCTCTAAGAATCTAATACTATGTTAAAGATAACTTCTCTACATTTGATAAAACTATTCTTCTGTTCTAACTAAAACTGGATTTTCTGGATTTAAACCTTGACTCAAAATATCGATCATCTTATATATCTGTAAATATATATCATCCGTTGGCTCAAAACAATGCATCATTTTAGGTATTATATCTTTTAACAAAATTTCTATTATTGTGTTAACATATTTTGTATGCTGAAACTCTTGCAGAACTTCATAAAGCGATGACAATTGTGCGACATCGTTATAACGTATGCAGCATACTTTAGACATTCCTGAAATTATTAATTTCGATCATAGGATTTATTAATAAAAATAAATGTAACTCTTATTGTACCTTGGAAATCCTTAATACACATATTATTCCAAATTCCATTTGACATCCATCCTGCAATCTCAGAATACTTAAATCTTGTTTCAAGAGGTTTTACATTTTCATTAGGTCTTATATCAAATTTTTTTATTTTATGCATTTTATAAATAGATTCCAATCTTTTGTCAAGTTCCTTAATTTTGTCTATGTGAATCATACCATTATACACATTTCCTAATACAGAAAAGGATTCCAGGGCAATGCTTACAATATTATTTTCTTCTTCAGAATAATTTTTCTTATTTTCATTCTGAAAGAAAAATAAAATAATTGTCCATAATATAAATTTAATATATTATACACACCATTTTTTCAAATTCTTTTAAGAATCCTGCTGCTGCTGTTCGATGTTGCAAATTATTTACAGATTCCTGTGTATGTTCAAATTTTACATATAAATGATACACTCTAAGCACTTTCAAAATTTCTTTTGGAATATCAAACTTATCAAGAGCATCTACTATATCCATTGATAGAATTTCTTCAGTAAATTGCGTAACATTTTCTCCGTGTAACGGACAGTCTTTTCTATTTATATTTGTAGATATAGTTGACATTTTCTTGGACGACGCTAAAGAAAGTTCTTCTATTAATTTAGTTAATTCACTTGTTGATGCTGCACGAACTTCAGGTTGTTTTTTAGAATTAATAAATTTCGTATTATTCTTTATTTCTTTACTTTTATTATTATCTTGAGTTTTTGCTGATTGTATATTTTTAATATTTAATTTATTTGCTAAAAGAAAATTTTTTTTTCCTTTTTGTTTAATATTTGTTCTACTTGTAGATGGTATTTGCGATGCTTTTATTGAACCTTGCTCTGATATTCCAATCTTTGAAGTAATCTTGGTAACATTTTGTATTTTTTTCGGATTTTTATCAAATGATTTTATATCCATTTCTACATGGGATTTTACAATATCATGCTTTGTTGGTTCATAACATACTTTTTGTACATTTGTCTTATCTAAATCCTTTTGCTTCGAGTGTTTTTCTTGCTTCGAAACATTAGACGAAAGTTTTTCTCTTAATTTTTGTGCTTGCAATATTGTTCTGCTTATACCTTCAGAAATATCTTCCTCTTGACTTCCAAATGACATCTAATTAATTAACGAAATATAAGATAATAAATAAAATACAATGTTAACATAAAATATATATGAAATTTTTTACCTTATCGCAAATACAATCATTCTTATTAACTTCTTTTGTAACAAAAGTTTTTGTTATCCAAGGTTTCAAAGAAAATCTTGCTTCGGCGCATTCAAATTGTAATGTATCTTTTACTGCTTCTGTGAATATCAAGGCATGACTAATGAAGTCACTTAAAGATGATAATTCAAATTTCCGATTCATTGCTTCAACGACATTTGAACAATTCTAGTGAGAAATAAAAATAAATATTAGTCAAAAATAAGACATTAAGACTATATATTGAATATTACCACTCAAAGTGTTAACTATTGTATATCAAATTGGTAATCAATATCTAAAAATATTAATAACATAAACATTAAATAACATTATATATTATATATATATATGTACATGTGTGTGTATATATATATATATATTTATATTTATATATATATATATATATATATATATATATATATATATAGAGAGAGAGAGAGAGAGAGAGAGAAAGAGAGGATATTTTTATAGTATATCACATTGACTATTATGAAGACACATAATAAACATTATATACTCGAAAAAAAATATTATTGGGTATTCATATTTCGGAAAAAAAAAGAAAATAGACACACCATAGAATAATATTTTATATATTAAGAATAATATATAATAAAGACTTAGAGATATAATTCATTTATTTCTTTTTCTCAATTTATATCCAATTACTATAGTTAGTTTAACGAAACGAGTCAAGAGAGGCAAAGAAAATAATCGTATGGTAAGCGCGTGATAGTTGTAAGAGACTCCAGCTATTGGCGAGCAAACAGTAGTCAATTGTTAAATTCAGGAACGAATTACATAGGACGTTGATAGGGCTTACTTCGACTTTCCGCTCAAAAACAGTTAAATTATCTGATGGTTGTGAATACGTTCCTGACTCAATAATGTCCCCATCATATATATTCATTAATATACGTGACTCGTCTCGTTAAATGGACTATAGCTTGTTAGTTTTCAGTCCATTGAATTTAGGAAAACATCAAAATCGCTGCCTACGCTAGAGTTCAAGACAATCAAGTTAATGATTGATGTAAATGCTGTAATGGAAATGTAATATTTATGAGTCGTTGCCTCTAATATCGTGATTCTGCAATGTTCTTACTGTATTTAGCTTCAGAGAAATACAGTTCCATTGCAATAAGTTATCTTATATAAAAATAAAAATTGGCTTAGGTGTACCAAACTCAGCTTCATGATTATTTTACGTATCCTGTTTTCACACTCATTGATATCACGACAACGGAAGCAGGCACAATCTGAAAACATTGGAGTTTTCAGGGATTACTGACTCATAATAAGATTAGTATATAAAACGTATAAGTTAATATCTGTCTTTGTATGAATTAATATCGAAATAAAGATTTAAAAAAAAAAAATAATGATCATAATGAACACTTCGTGCCACTCACAACGATACTAGACTTATTTCAAAAATCCTGAAATGCAATTTTCTCCTTAATAATTAATTGTACAGTACGACGCCTTGTTTTAGAAATATAAAACTTAAATATAATTAATCAAGATGCACCATTTAAAAAAATCTTTGTATAAACGAATGTTTCTTTAAGAGGAAATTGTGGAATTCATTGATTGGATGCAGGAAATAGAAGGGACAATAGTAATTTTATTCCATTTGATTATGTGCGCCTATAATTCGTCTTTTCTTGGCACATCGTCATCTTCATCTTCTTCCTGAACCTATAATAAATATATAGTAATATATAAATAGTAATAAAACTTTTTTTGAAAAATATTATTTTACATTTATATTTATTTTTTGTTCCATACATACCTCCTTTGCACCTTGGTCATATGCACCACCAGATTCAATGAATTTAGCTAATTCCGCGAGTGTCCTCTCGCCGTTGTAATCAACAGCCTAGATTGAAGAAATTTAAAGAATATTAAGTATGCAGCGTTCCATTTTTCGCAATAAGTAAATGAAAATAAAAATATACCTCATTTGTTCCTTTCTTGTAAAGGGTAATTGTTGGATAATTGATAATCTTTACGTCTTCCAATTCATTCACAGTAGCGTCCATTTTTGCTATCACTACAGATTCACTATCTTCATATTTCTTTCCTAACTATAAAAACAAATTTTTTATATTTAATAAAATCTTATAAATGACCACATATATGTATATATATGTATTAATAATATTTAATATGTATTAATACATACTTCTTCGTAAATAGGTGCAAGCTGTTGGCAATGTCCACACCAAGGAGCATAAAATTCAACTAAAACGTCTTTTTCTTTATTAAATGCAACTTCATGGAAGTTAGTACCAACAAGAACTTTAACAGGATGTTTATCCCAATCTTTAGGCAAGTCCTCAGTAAGTAAATGTCTCTTCAATTTGCCTTCTATGAAAGCATTTACAAATTCTAAAACATTTTCACTGCTTATTTCTGGATTTTCAGGTTTATATTTTATCATATCTCCTTCTAATTTAATAAGACGCATAACAGGAACATCTTTATTCTTTATGCCAAAGTAATCTAAGATTCGCTCATGATCAGCTTCATCTGAATCGATGGTTACGAACAAAACCTAAGTACATATAAAAATTATACATTTTTAATAATAATGTATTTAAATGCTTGTATATATAAATAAATTATTTTATATTTCTTATCTCTACCTCTCCACGGAATTTCTTTGCAGGCTCCTCAATTTTTTTAACTAATTTCTCAAAATTACGATCTTTTTTGCTTATAAAAACTAAAAGGTGACTCTTAATGTCACCACCAAATATCTTTTGAGCTGTATCTTGGTTGAAGTCAACAATTAAAGGTAATGAATATATACTGATGAAGTTTTGAATATTCTTGAAGGTAGGTTCTTCTGTAAATTTGGTCTTGCCTTCATCAAACTAAAACGATAATAAATTACATAATAAATTTAAAATACTCATATATACACACACACACATACATACACACATGCATATATATATATATATATATATGATACATTACCTTCTTAAACAATATAATACTACCATCTTCTGCTTCATATTCTTTCAATACTTCATCAGCATTGGAGATACCAAATGTGTAATGATCAACTGCATTTGCAACTTCCAAGAATACCTTAGCGGCTTCAGATTCTAGATCCTTAATATAATATAAAATAATAAAAATAATATATATTACAGATAATTGTCTAATTATAAAGCATAATTTGAACCTTGAAGAATCCAATTATTGAAACTTCATGTTCATCAATGAAAGCCTTAGCAATCTTTATGGAAGATAAATCTTTAGCAACGGATCCTGTTTTCTTAACAAGCCAATTTACGATATCATCTGCTAAACGTCCACCATTGTACTCAATAGAAATTCCTTTACGGTAAAACTTAAGAGTGGGATATCCCCTGACGCCGTGTTTCTCTGCTAATTCAGTTTCTATAGTTGCATCAACTTTAGCTAACTTAATATCAGAACCTGAATCTGCCAATTGTTTGGCTGCCTTTACGTATTCAGGTGCCAATGCCTTGCAATGCCCACACCATGGTGCATCTAAACGATAACGCAAAAATATTGAATCATAGTGAAATCCTTTTTTTTAATATTTTTTCTATCCAAAAAGGTAAAATAAATTTCGAATAATCAAACGGACGTAATTGTCGAATTTAAATGTTCATGGATGAACAGATGTTAAAATACTATCAATTAAGATTACAAATAAACGACCAATAAGATTACCGTTAACCGGTGCGTGAGTGATGACGTGTAATGATCAAACATCTGTTCCTATTTCCGAAACACCGTTTCAACATAATTAAATAATGAGTAATAAAATAAAAGAAGCAACAGGAGGCCATAAATAGAAATAAATGAGAGCGCGGGACTTAGAAAGTTGAGATAAAGAAAAAAAAATAATATACTTACAGAATTCGATAAGAATAAATTCATTATCCTTGATCGCCGATTCAAAATTGTCTTTGTTAATTACCAATACACCTTCATCTAAATCAATATTTGCAATAGCATAGCTAAAACAGGTAACCACCAAAAGTATCGCCGTAACGACATTCATCTTTGACTTGGTCACGTTCGACTATTACACTGGATAAGACAGCTGTGAATGATCAGGAAAAAAAAAATATATATATATATATAAGAAAAGACTCCCACTAGGTAATTTTTTTTTATCAAAAATTATTCAAATAAATTATAAAAAAAGATATATAATAATACTAAATATATATATATATATACATATATTCGTAATAGGAAAAAGATGAGACCCGTAGTGAATAACGGACACGAAGAAGATTGAAGAACGCGAATCAAGTGAACAGAATGGAGCCAACGCGTACGATGCTGTCTGACTATAACGTTCTATGTGGTAGAATCACTGTTAACGCATGGCATCTTCTATTCATCGTGGGAGTCACTCATTGGCTGACGCTGTTGATCAAAAGTATCTATACTAGAATTCAAGATTTCCTAAAGTATCAAGGGTCGAAAAATAGTATGCTTTGATAATTTTTATAGATAATGTAACTTTTATCAATTGTTAACCTCTATAATCTAAAATAAATAATTCATCGATATCAAAAATCGATCGATATTATTCATTTTCGAAAACCTTTTTCATTTCTAACATTTTTCTTTATTACATTTTTGTAGCATGATTTTTTAATTTAAAAACTTCCATTTTTAATGACAAAGAACAAAAAAATTTCTTCTGAGTCATGAATACGAAAATATCGTTTTATTCTTATTTTATTTTTTTTAATTTTTTTTAATTTAAAAAAATTTTTTTTTTTTGAATAAATTTAATCCATTACGTTCGAATAAATGTAACGTAAAAATTATAATAAGCGATACACACTTTTCTCGTCGATACGTTTTTTTCGATAGTTGAATATTGCCGCCATAACAATTTACTTAGCTGTATAAACAGGTGTGCGATATATTTTTGAATCGTTAAAGAGAACTATTGGATAATAGTTACGTCAATTCGTCGTTGTATTTCATAATATTTAATTAATGTACGTTGTTAAATAACTATATTATCATATAATTAAAGAAAAATATATAATTTTTGTCATAACCTAAATAAATCATTACAACCTTTGTATATTGTACCAGATGACGTGTATATATACATATATATCTAATATATTTATAGATGAAATAGCCAAGTTTTAACTGTATCCTGTACTATAAAAGAATAATGAATTGAATGTAAGAAGATTTAATTATTATTAAATACTTACATATATGTTGCTAAAGGGAGAATCAAACGAGAATAATAGTACAGCCAATAACAGACAGACAGGAACAAATACTGATGATGACTCTTGTGTAAAAGCGCGGTTTTCAAGATTTGAATTTAAAATTTTGAATTTTTCAATTATAATAAATTTATTTTTTCTTTTTTCTTCACTGATAATGTACATTAAAAATTATACGTAAATTGGTTTACGATAACAATAATATACTCGAACTTTTTATAGCAATTAATATTTACTTCTTGGTTTAATAAATAAAATTTAAATGCAGAAAATTGCATACGATTTTTCGGCGCGAATTTTAAAATACTTGACAAATAAATTACTACGTTCGTATTTTAACTATCATAATGTCTTTTAGGTTTCGTAGAATATCGTACGCTAACTTATGTGCCAACTATTCTATAGTTAAAATACTCTTTATTGTACTCATACAAGCTTTTCTGTTTGCTATAAATAGAAAGCAATCAGTTTATGTTCGTGACATTGCTCAGTGAAGTCAGGGTAACAAATAAACTTTGCTATAAAATTGATGTTTTTTTATATTAAAAATGTTATAATATATAATTTAATATTATTGTATGATTATACTATTGAATGATTATATAGTGAAAGTTATATAATAGTAGTATTAATAATGACAAAAAATCATAATTCTGAAGTACATTTGTAAATATATTTTTTTAGATGTCTGCACATAAAATAACATCAGAAATATTTTTAGAAACTGATAAACATTCAGAAAAACTCACAAATAATAGTAAGTTTATTAATTTTTAATTTTCTGCATTAATTATCCCACATTTGCTAATTTTTTTTTTTTTTTATAGAATAATCATTGTTCTTTCTTTATTATTATTAGTTGCTGTTACTCAATTTGTCTTTAAGTGCCCTTCTTATATGATAAAATCAAAATCAACAATAAAAATGATAGAGTATGATAAAGATAATGATTTGGATATAGACAGAAATGAAGAAACTGTTTTGTATATAGGTATGTATTTTTTATATATTAATTTATTAAGAATTTTAATACTACTTTTTCTTTTAGAACACAACATATCTACAGAATTACAAATGGTAGGTTTGCAAGTATGGCGAGGTGCTCTTTTATTAGCTGATTATATTTTATCCAATCCTGATTTATTTAAAGAAAAAATAATTATGGAATTAGGATCTGGTGTTGGTTTAACCAGCATTGTTGCCAGTTTTTTAGCAAAAGAAATAATTTGTACAGGTGATGATGATAGTAAATAAAAGATATAGTACTTTTGTAAAAGAGCTATTATTCAATTATTAATATTTTTACTTTTTATTGTCTAGATATTAATTTAGGTGAAATATTAAAATTAGTGAAACGAAATTTCATGAGAAATATATCTTATGTGAAATGTAAATATCATATAGAAGAATTAAATTTTTTAAATTTAAAATGGTCTAAAAGTTTAGAAGAAAAAGTTAATATGACAGAGATTTTCATAGCTTCGGATGGTAAGTTTATAGTTGGATGAAATGAAACAAAGTTACTAAAAAATTTTGTTTTTTAGTGATTTATGATGATGTCATAACAAATGGATTTGTTATAACATTAGAAAAACTCTTAAGTAAAGAAGTTCTAAAAACAGCTTACATTGCTTTGGAGAAAAGGCATGTTTTCACTGTTGCTAATATGGAAACTGTTGCCCCAATGTATGAAGAATTTCTACGTTGTATTCAAAGGCGAAATCTTAACTGGAACATAGAATATGTGAAAATAGATTTTCCACGATTCTTTAAATATGAGAGAATACAACATATGATTTTAATGAAAATTGAAAATAAGATCAATATTAAGGATAAATAAATATATAAAGAATATATAATATACAAAATATATTATTTGATAATATTGTCTTTAATAATACATTATAGATCTTTACAAATTGATTTAGTAAGTGTACCTACTTAAGGATCAAAAGACTGATAATTATTCATAGAAGAAATATTTTAATTTGTCAGAGTTATCCGAAGAAGATCATTATGATTTGCCTGTTGATATGTTTCTTCATGAAGTGGTTCTATTTCTCTCCATATTACTTTATCTAAAAGATAGAAAAAAAATTTTTAGTTTTTTTTTTATATATCGTAAAAATTATTTACCTCCATTTGCATCACCAGTATAATAAATGACATCAACTTCAGTACTCCATTGTATAGAACGTGCTTTGCACGAAACATCTTCAGAATGTACTTCTATAGCTTCTTTAGGTGGAATATCATTTATCAAATACTTTATGTTTGAACATCCTTTTTTCAAATTATTTCCAGAATTAAAATTTACTTTACATTGTGTATTAGAATAATTCGTATTAATGTAATTATTATTTGATAATTGTATAATTTCATTTGATTTGCCAGTAAAAGGATGATGAAATGATTCTTCCATCATAACTTTACACATAGAATTTATATTATTGGATAAAGTTGATTTATCATTGTCTGCATTATCCAGATTATCTTCATACTTTGTTATCACATTAACAGGATTAGTATTATTTTTTACTTGGCCTAAATTTAAGTTTGCAAATAAGTCCACAATATCATATAATGGAACAGTTTTTTCCATTTCAATTTTAGGAAAAAGAGTAGTTGCAACTGTACAATTCTGCATTCCATTAGAATTCCAAATATAATTTGAATTAATTTTACTATTTATTTCTTCTTTGTTATTCTTCCTTTTATTGATGGATAAATAATTGTTTCTTAGTTTATGGTTAATATATCTTATCTTTTTTTGATTATATATAAGTTTAGTATGCTTCTTTGAATTATGTAGTTTAGTGAAAAAATGAAGACTGTTTCGTTGGCATTTATCAAGTCTATAGCATTGCCTTATATTTCCAGAAAAATATTTTTCATTTGAATAAGGCAAAAGTTTCAAACTAATATAGTTATAATACTTTTGTAAATGAACAAGGATCTTTCTTGATATTCCATAAAAATTTGTAGCATCAATATTCTCAAGGTTGCAAAGAAGATTTAACTTCACATTAGTAGATTTCCATAATTTTATAAGACTCTTAACTTTTGATGTTGATCTCTCTAAATAATATATATTATTTAATTAATCTTTTAAAAACATATATAATAATTTTTAATTACCTTGAGAGTTATCATATTTTTTATCACTATAAGGTATAACAGGCAAAACAGATTTTGACATTCTACAGGATATGGATTACAAAAATTTAAGGATAAATAAAAAATTTTATATCATGGATTATAACATTCATTTCCTTGGATAAATAGTATTATCAAAAGTTAAAATTTGTGATGACAACTGGTTCCTTCAGACAATTAGATGAAACCAATTTCATACAATTTGTTTTTAAAATTCTCTTGTTTCATAAAATGTATATGAGAGATAATAAAACACCAAAAATCTCTCTCTCTCTCTCTCTCTCTCTCTCTCTCTCTCTCTCTCTCTCTCTCTTTTCTCTCTCTCTCACTAACACATCTCATTGCAGTCGAATACAATGTATTATTAGACAAACTTTGAAAATGTTTTTATATATTTGAATTTTAAACAAAAGTAATAATTACCACTTATTTTTATGTCCATGTATTTTATTGTAATTTTTTTTTCTATTTACATCCTAGCATAGACAATAATATTAATGGACAGTAGTTGAAGTCGTTCGAAGAAAACGAAGATTCCAAAATTCTTAACAAACATTAAGAGAATGTTTATGATGAATAACTAATAAAACAGATATAAAGAAATGATAGATAATATATATAAAGGAATGTAGACGTTTCTTCGAACAACTACGGGCAGTAAAAGTCATATATTACACTCAAGTAAACGTTTTATCATGATGCACTAGCTCCGATTTACAAGCTTGTATGAGAGAACAATGACCTATAATATGTCTTAGGAAACAAAATATACATATACAGATCCCCAAACTGGCCTATTGTTACTCTCATATACAGACCTGCTAGTTTGGTAAAGGCACTTTCAATCTATGCATTCTTTCTTTTACAGAATAAAATTTACAATTAAGATTTGAATATTTCAGATAGAGCACAATAGATCAATTTTAACTAATTAAATTCTGTCTTTGATCGTGACGCCAGTAAAATACCTGTTTAATTCATCCATGTGAATTTAGATGTTAAAATATTAATATGATAAGTTATAATTTAAATTAACATTCTATAAAGTACATAATTATTTTACTGTATAAAAGAACCAGCATGTACAAAAAATACTTGACATACTTCGATTATTTGTAAGCAGAAGTTAAGGACTGATACAAAAAAAAAAAAAAGAAAAATCCCGTTTTTAAAAAATAATTCCCCAAAAATTGTTTGTCTTTAGGGTCAATGCTTTTTATCACAAAATCCAATTCTATTACAAATTAAAGTGTCCTACTACTTTTATGAGGCAGAGAATTTTATATATAATTACAAGCATAAGTTTGAAACAATTTGTATCAATAATTGTAACATCCAAAGATATAAAATATAGATAACATGAACAGTATCATTGACTAGACCATAAAAAAATCAGTATGATACTATATGTTTAAAAAATAACATTGTTGCCAATATATAATTATTAATTAATAAAGTGCATTTTGAACTAATGCAGATTATTTAAACAGGAACAAATTTAACGTTCCCTTCTTATTTATTTTTAATTCGTCAAAACTGTATATAAAATCAAAATAAACGTTAATGTGTTGATTGAAACATATGCATAGAAACAGTAGATTTTACATTTTGAGAATTTGGTGATCCCAAGGGGAGCGATGTTTTCCTCCTAGCATTAGAACTTGAACAGTCATTATTAAAACTGATTTTTGTACTACTTGCTTTAGTAGCAGTAACATCAGTAGATGCTTGAAAACCTGTAGAAACCCATCTTTCAACTTGAGCTTCATGAGATTTTTGCAAAACTTTGCGTACATCACCATTTTCACCTCCTTCTTTCATAATCTCCTGCAGCTTTTGAATTGTCTGATAAAGAATAACAGGACTAATTAAACCAAAATCAAATAAACTGCACATATGCAGTACAAAATTCCGATATAAATTTTTCATAAGTAACTCCTTTCCTTTGGTTTCTAAAAACATTTGGCAAGCCAATGGTATTTGGCAGTCTCCTACATATCCATATTTCATTACATGTAAATTCCACATTTTCATTAATTCTTTTTCTCCTTCATTAACATCGGTAAAATCATCGATCATCATCATTGTCTTCGTTTGTAACCATTTTGGATCGTTTTCTCCTTCAGAATCAATATCCATTTCCTTCGGATAAATAGGCAAACAAGTGACAGTGTGATGATATAATCTATATTGACAAAAAATTGATGATGCGAATAAAAAAACAATAAAGGTTTTGTACTTAAATAAAATATTATCAATCCCACCTATTATGTCCAGTGATGTAAGGTCTTTGGCTTTCAAATTCATTTTCATCAAGTTCAAGAAATTCGGATAAACTCGGTTTTGTTCTCTTTGGCCGACAGACTAAAATATTTGTTACACTCGTACGTCTAGTTGGGCCTGTGCGTGAAAAAGCTACCCCAGATGGTTGAGTGATTAATTCATGTGGACTACCAGCATATGAACCATCATAACATTCGTTTATTGCTACATCTATACGGGCACCTTGTGGTATTGGCTACAAATGATATATTTATTTATTAATTAATGTTCAATAAAAAACATTATTAGACAATTTTTTGTTTTTATTTTTTAAGAACAACTCACCACGTAAGTAAACGTAAATCTAGAATGACATAACTTCAAATGCTTTAAAAGAGAATAGAGCTTCCCACAATCTAATGAACACCATGGGCAATGAAGGTCCTCACAAGCCTCTGTTTGCTGACGACTGTTATTATTGTATAAAAATTGATAAACTATTTGTTGAGTACCCATTGAATTCTCCATTTTTTCAGTGGATACAGACATTCTTGACGGGGTCAATGGACTAGGTGTTGGCAGTGTTGTATTATTGTTATTATTGGTGTTATTGTTATTATGGTTTGTGGAAGAGCGCTCAAAGCCAGCTGAAGGAATTATATATACACTATGATATATATATCTAATGCTATTTAAATAAATAGAACATACTATTTGAATAGTAGTAGCAACTTACTGTTGCTTGATCGATTTTCTTTATTGTCACCGCTTGGCACTGGATGAATAGGAGCAGGTCTGTCCACTAAACCATTACTTGGCTCCATAGTCCAACTAAGTCTAAATTTTAATGTAGGACCTCTACTGAACACTTCGAAAGGACCACATTCTTTAATGTCAGGTACAGATTCCCAAGAACTGTATTTCTTTGGGCTGGATCTAACATTAGTTTGTACTTCCTGCAAACCTAATTCATAATCACCATCTGTCAGAAGACATCTGTTATGCTTATCATATACTATGAGCTCAGAGCCATACAATTTTACTTCTTCACCGCTACTTTTAATTGAACCTGCAGACGACTTTCGACGTTTCTGTGCTGGTTCTACAAGAAAAACATATATTAATATTTAAATATTATTTACAAAATTTATCAAAGTTTGAAATTTGTTTATTTACATTCTGAAATAACTTTCTACATACCTTCTAAATCACAGCTATGTATAAGGCAGCTATTGTTAGACATACAATATACCCTCAATAAAAGCATATACGTTTTTGCTACATGTCCATTATTTAAACTAAAAGATTCATTAGGTATTGAGATTGTTGGTGCTTTAGGTGGAGGTTGATTTTCTAAAGGATTAATCGGGACTTCACTTGTTCCAACAGACACCTAGAAACTTCTGAATTAGTACATACAATAAAATATAATTCATACGTTTTACAGATGATAAACTTACTTGCATAATAGGTGAGCTTACATCTTTCCTTTTCTTATGGCAAATTTTTAAAAGTAAAGTTTCTACTTTTACTGGATCTTGTGATGCTTCAACTGTTATGAAATATCCATTGTATAAAAGATAAGAGAAGTATAAAATATAATATCTTGTAAATAAATTCAATGAATTGTAAAGAAATTGTATATATCAATTTATATTAGAAAAAACCTTACTTTTCTTATCATAAAAACCTAAAAATGTAAGTGTCATATATCCACGTACACCAAGAGTTTGTTCTTGATTATTTTTAGACATCAATCTTTCCAAAATTGTATCAATTTTAAATCCTCTACGAGATTTATGACTCCTAGACATACGTTGCCTCATGTAAGTCAAATTTCGATACAGGAATATTGGCTAAAATAAATGAAACTAATTACACTGTAGAAGTCATTAAATTTTATGATATTGAATTAATAAAATAAAAAATAACAAATGTATAAAATATATAATAGTATACCTACCGTAATAAGAATCCTGGATGTAAAATTATTTAATAATAAAAAAAAACATTATAATTTATAAAAAATCAAATAATAACATCATTGTATTAACATTTAAATGCTATATAATAATAGACAAGCACAATATAGTTACTGTATATCACATTTTATAATATTCTTAAATATCTATATATATAAAATGTAGAAAGTTAACACTTTGAGTGGGTCAAAAAATTAATATCATACCTATACAATATTAAATATAATAATTTAAAGTTTGCTTACTTACTGAGATTTGATTTCTTGTACGTAGAAAGCGATAAATTTGTGTTGGTTCTGTAAAGGAATGAACGACTTTATAAAATACATCTAAAGAACATTAAATGTACAAATAAAAAAAATATAAATTTTACTGCTAATGTAATACAAAAAAATTTATTCATAAATAAAAAATATTATATGTATATATTTATATGCTTATATATATATATTTATATACACCTATGCATGTGTATATGCATGAGTTGTAATACGTATATATACCGCGCGTATGTGTGTAGAATCAAATCTGGACAGTGTACTAAAAAATAACTAGATGGCGTATAAAGTAAAGGCTTTCTCACAAGGAATTAATATTGCTCCGAAGATCAAATACTGAATTTAAAGAATATACTGACGATCCTTCTGTTGATCAGAATGGGAAATGATGATCTGGTTTCTCTCGTCGTTACGAGATGCCTGCACCATATTTGTTACGACTTTTGGCAGGTTGAACCTCTCTGATCCCATAATTTTTTTTTAATTCATAACTTATGATAATTTACAATTAATTCGTAAGATGTAATAGTAAGTACGTATCACACTACTGATATAACCTAAAAATTTTATTTTCGGAGTAAGCACGTGTTATGTTATTTTCAGAAATAATACGATCTCAATGTATTCAATTAATTTTAAAAATTCTCTTCTAAAAATTATATTATTACTTATTTTATTACTATTATTTTCTTTAAAGTTATTTCATTAGAAAAAATTTGCTTTACTCGCCACCATCCTAATATATAATAAACAAATCTAAAACGTGTTTATTGAATATAAGATGGAAACACTAAGTCATAAAATGACGATCATTTATATTTAACGTTATTTTTTATCTATTAGAAAAAAAATAGAATTAAAAAAAAATTTGTAAAAAAAAACGAATGATAGAAATAGGAAATATAAAGTTACATCTTTAACAGAGTTCGATACAATATTTCTATATGTAATTTGTCGAGAATAGTTTAGGTTATTTTCAAGAAGAATTAAATTAAAAATACAACAGAACGAAGACATTATTTTATTCCTTTAAATACAATTGACATTTTCTTGATCATTGTGAAAAAGTTACGTAGAGTTTTAAGTAACGTTAAAAACGTGATTTAAAAAATTACAAGAAAGAGGTAAATGCTGACAGGTGTCTGCGACGATGGGAATAAAGGAGGGAGGTAACTGAACCGACGCGCGCCACGGCGCTGAACGAACTCTCTATAAATAGGGTTATGTATTATCATGAAAAAGATTTACAGTTAGGTTTTATAAAGATACCGTTAGAACAAAACAAATTAAAATGGAAGCACTTAAACGCGTTAAAATGAGTGATAAGAAAAAAATATATGTAAAAGGGGGAAAAAGATAGCCACTAGCGTACTCACTTTCGAAGGCTTGAAGAAACAGCTCGTGGTCTGCCTGAATCTGATCCATGCGCGGGCCCTTTTGTCCATCCAATTCTTTCTCCCGCTTCTTTGGCGGCATTTTCACGTGAATATTTACAGTATTTTCCACAGAAACTCACTCTTTTCGCGTAAAAATCCGATGACAACACCCGCCCCGCGCGAAAACTGCGGCACTCGACTGGCACCGAACGTGGCGCACCCTACCGGCATAATTTTCTACACACTTTCTAAATCCATGATTCACAAAGTAATTAGTATTACACACTGACACCTAGTTTTACGCGGCACTTCTTGCACGTGGTGAATCACGTGATCCCAACATCTACCAATTACAACGATTTCTTAAATTAAGATTATCAAGTAGTATCAACCAATCATATTTTTTAATCGTTTTTATAAATATTTCATTCTTATAAAATTAAAGGACATTTATTAAAACATTAAAAAGAAATTTATTGCGATAATACATTTTCAAACAAATTATATTCATATCAAACTAAATGTAATATTCCTTAATGTCTCGTAAGTAAATCAAATTCAATATTGTATTCGATATTTTTCTATATCGATTTTTTATTATTATAATAATATATCATATATTCGTATATTAATATTTAAGTACCATACATAAAGTGAACACAATATTATTTATAAGTTTTTAAACTCTATTTAAGAATGTGAAAGTCATTCCGATACTATGTTACACAAGTATTTGGTAGACCTGAAATAATTTTGATTGGTCAGCAGAATACAGTCCATCATGGAGTACGTCGGTAGGTATTGAATCCTGCCGATTTATTGTCCTATCTTTTGAAAAAACTATCAGGAATAATCGTGTACACTTTTGAAAATTGGTTTTATTATTTTGTATACTAAAGATGTATTTATATCCCGTCTTAAAAATTTATTTAAAACAACATTCTAAATAACTATATATATATATGCAACTTTGATAATCTTACAATAACAATGATTTTTCTTTTTATACAAATATCTTTTAGACGTATTTATCAAATTATTTAACTTCCGAACGATTATTAATTTGAAAATATCTTTTTCAAATGTATTTTTTTTCGTTTAAATTAATTTTACGCAACATAACCTTTACGTTTATTGTCTGAAGTCATGGAACAGGTGGACTTTTGTATGATTTCACTATCGTATATTAACAAATTCATAAAGTTGAAATTATTTAAATTATACAAATGGAATCTTATTTTATATTTTTTTTTCTTCAATTGAAAAAGTCTAATACAATTCAAATTTTTCACTATGTTGTTTTTCTCATGTTTATATAGGTACTACAAAAGGTGACGGGAATGACAAATGTTGTAATTCCTCTCCATGCCCAGAAATAGTAGCTAATTCGATGTCGGATGAAAATGTATCAGAAAAAACAAATGTACTCAGAACAGATCATGAAAATGATAGTGTACAGCCTATTGAAGATACAGCTGCTACTACATCTCAAGACATACCACAAGAAAAAATAGACTTTAAAGTAATCTACAACAAACAGAAGATTAATATAAATTTTGCATTAGATGGTACTGTGGCCGAGCTGAAAGCACATCTTCAAAATATTATTTCAGTGCCACAAGTAATGCAAAAAGTTATGTTTAAAGGATTAGCCAAAGATGATCAAACGCTTAGAAACTTGGGAGTTACAAAAGGTGCAGATTGTAACATTGGTACTTTTTGTATAATAAATGGTTATATTATGAAATTTCAAATAGATTATCTAATTATATGTTCATAAAGGTGCCAAAGTCATGATAGTAGGATCAAAACTAGATGATGTATTAGCTGTATCAATTCCGTCAAAGCAGGATCTAGCAGATGAAGCTAGTTCTACTGCAAGTAAGGAACCACTGTCGCAACAAAAAATTCACCGTAAAATTCTAGATAAAGGTATTCCAGATGATGTTATGCCGGGTATATTAGATAGTAAGGTAATCAAACTTTCCAAACTTTTGATGAATCCATTTACATGGATTACAATTTCCATAAAACTTGCAGACCTGCATAAAAATGTTTCGGTTTCTTGTCATAGGAACCACTACCTGAATTTCCTATCTCAGGTATGCTGAATAAATTTCGTGGCAAGGTTAGACTTACATTTAAATTGGAACAAGACCAGCTTTGGATCGGTACAAAAGAAAGAACTGATAAAATTCCTATGAACTCAATAAAAGGTGTCCATAGTGAACCAATACATGATCATCCAGAGTATCATATTATGGTATGTTTAACTGTAAAGTATTACATATTTTGTCATTTTTAATTACACATTTGTATAATATATAAATGTTTAAATATTATTATTTTTTTTTTTAATAACATTTTAATTATTAATTTTTTAAATAATATAGGGTATACAATTAGGAACAACAGAAGCATCAAGATATTGGATATACTGGGTTCCTGCACAATACATATCAGCCATCAAGGATGCTATTCTTGGAAAGTGGTGTTACTTCTGATCAAGTGCAAATGGAAATTTCGTTTTCTCTGAAAACAATGTGTAATCAAGTGTAAACATTGACACAAATACGATTGTGCTAGTCACACACTTTTAACAGTAAGTAATAACTTATTTTGCGTTGAAATGTCACTGAGGAGTCCCAATAAAAATAATTTGTTCTAGTAAAGAATACCTTATAGATAATTAAGGTTTCAGTTAATAGTGGTATGATATGCGTCTCAATTCATTTTGCCAATGTTTCAGGTTTTTAGAATAAACTTTTGAAAGTGCTTTTAAATTATGTGGCACATGACATATTCTGTGATTATTGGAACTTCCATAGCTCATAATGTATTACAATGTTACACAGTTTAAAGAGCAGTTTCTTTTTCTAGGAGGGGGGAGGGTTAATGTAATCATAAATTACATTACATCAAATCCATATATTGTCCTAATTAAACATGAATCACAAGAAGAGCATTGTTTTTATTTGGACACTTTAGCCAAAAAATTATAGCTTAAATGAGTCAATTGGAAAATTCTATGTTTTCTGATTATTTAAATAGGGGCTTTTGAAATTTAGAATAAAAGTGAACATTTTGTAAAATTACATTTATAGGAAGAAGCGAAGAAAGAAGTTATGATGTTGCATTTACTGACATTTGAAGTTCGTCGAGAAATATTTCATCTGATTACCATAATTGGGGAAAATTTTAATCAATTATTGCATCTAAATATTTCATTTAAAATGATTTACTTATTATTAAAGTCAAATTAATATGAAAAACATTTAAAACGGAATTTTACATACAAAAGATAAAAAGTAATTTTTATTTTCTATATTAATTAATTATAAATTTTATTACATCACAGAGCATCATATATAATTAATATAATTACCTCTCTCTCTCTTTCTCTCTCTCTCTCTCTCTCTCTCTCTCTCTCTCTCTCTCTCTCTCTTTCTTTCTTTCTTTCTTTCTTTCTCTTTCTCTCTCTGCGATAAAAATTAAAATTTATTGCTTTGTGATAATAAACAAGATAGTAACAAACTCAACACTATTACACTGACATGAAATTACAACGAATTCCACTCTACCTTAAATTATAAAATATACTCAACTATTTTCACATTGGCCTAGGAATAAATGATGTAAAAAAAAAGAAGAAGAAATTATATTAAATCCATGCTGTCTTGAAATCCATATGGATTACATCTCGACGAGCACAAATAAAAGATATTATGTAGCTTATTTAGTATTGTAAATTAGGTTTTATACCGTGTAATGTGTGTAATTTAAATGGAAGTACTGACATGATAAATCAAAATTTATTATAACATCTATCAAGAGTCAATCCATTGCACGTTTAAAGTCTGTATCAGAGGTTCATTTAAATAAAACTTGTACATTATGTTGTGTGATTTGATAAAATAAAAAGTTTTAAGACTTTAATAGCTTGTAATTTTTATTACTGCTTTTTTTATTGTACTTTTAAATATTTATAAAATTTAATCTGAAAGTAAAATATATAGTTTCTCTAAATGCTGTATTCTATAGAAACAGAACTCTCTTAGTTGATATACATCTGTTAACCACATGAATGGCAGGAAATGACTTATTAAAGTATTGCATTACCAAGCTTGTAGACTGCATTGCAGTCTAGTAGCTTGAAATGTGAAAAGCAGATGTGATATATTATGGAGAATACATAGAAGACCTTCTACTGTTTTACATATAAGTTTCTACATAGTAATCAATGTTATGAGTGACAGTTGAAAGTAGTTCAAGGCCAAACATGACAAACACAAAAGTGAGTTTTAGAATTAAATATTGCATTTAAAAACATTTTTTTGCGTTATAATTAATTATTTTTTTATTAATGTAAATTAATGTCTTTTCGTATTGCTTGTATAAAAGAAAAAAAAATAATATATAGAAATAATGAATTCTTACATATTCATATGCTGTTTATAAGTTTGGGTTAGGTTTAAAGCTTCAATGTCATTGAATTAAATAAATTGTATAATATGATTAATTTAAAAACATTTAAATATTTTTTTGTTTTCTTCATGATTTCTAACAAGAAATATTATTGTACTAGGCGTTTTTTAATAAAAATTATTAAAATATTTCATTATACAAATTGTATGTTGCACTCTAATTTATCAAGGGCAAAAGTACTACGTTAATTAATAAAACTTAATAATTATTAATTTTCTTGATAGTATTTCTATGAAACATGATAAATAAAAAAAAATATATATATATAAAATTACCTTATGTAAAAAATGATATATTATATTAATCATTAAAATAATAATACTAATTTAATTAATCATAAGTAGTTTATACTTGAATTTCAGGTTAAAGAAACAATATTATGATGTTATATTAAAATTTCTACTTATGGAGCATAGCCAGAATTATGGCTAATAATAAAAATCATGTAGAAGTTATACAAGAAACATTCCTTACATTAACTGAAGATTTTTTGAAATGTGGAACAACAATTCATGATCTAAAAATAACCATTGCTACAATGGATAATGTTAAAATGAATAATAATAATAATAATGCATATTATATATATTTCAGAAAAGTATTTGTTATTTTATTATTATCCGTTATTTATGGCCTACTTGTCAAATATTCATATATTGATATTATTAAAAAAAGTTTTTATGGAACCCGTTGTTTTATACCAAACAACTATTTGATATGGGAATTTACAAGACCAATATCAAATTGTGATTATTGCCGTAATATTGATATGCCAATAATATTGTCGAATGTGACTAAGAAGGAATTTGAATTGTATGCTTATTCATCGCAACCTATAATAATAAAAAATGCTGCTAGTCATTGGTCAGCATCAAAAGTATTTAATTTCGATTTTTTTCAAAATCTATATGAACATATCGAAGGTGCTTATGAATCTATAGAGGAGGAATGTCAGTTTTTACATTTCAAAAGTGACTTTAGTAGTTTGCGCGAAGTTTTTGCAATGAGTAAACAAAGAGCAATGAATCAAGAAGGTGAAAATCCTTGGTACATTGGTTGGAAAAATTGTCATCCACAAATTTTGGACATCATGAAACAATTTTATGATGTGCCAAAGTTTTTTCCAAATGATGCAGAAATCCCACATACAAATTATATTTTTATGGGTTATGAACAAGGAGCTAATATGCATGTATGTATTAAAATATATAAAAATAATAAACATATTAATTGGATCAGTTTATATATTAAGTATTTGATAAATTTATATTTTTTTATTAGCTAGACTATATATCTCGACTGATGTGGCAAGGACAAATTGTAGGTAGTAAAACATGGGTTGTTGCACCAACTCCTGAATGCGACCATGTTTGTAAACAATTTAACTTCTCTGTTGATACTGGAGATATCATTCTTTTGGACACAAGAATATGGTATCACAGTACATACATAGAAAATGGAAATTTTAGTTTAACTATCACTTCTGAATACGGGTAGATAAAAATAATTTATATTGTAAATAATTAATTTTATATTGTAATAATTTTCTTGCCGCTTTCTAGCTCCAATGCCTCTTTTAGTACAAATGGATAAGTACCTTACAAATTAATTACTACTTGTCAACTATTTTCTAATATTTCAGAGATTTTTAAATGTTTTAGTCTATTAAAATCATACTAAAATATTTATGCAATACTATATAAAATTATATTCTATATTATATAAAGCTAAAACGTGCCAATTAAAATCACGTATAAGTAATTAATATTTTATTAAAATTAAACACAAATACTGTTGATGATCAGTATTTTATTAGAAAAATTCTACTTTTATATATTTACAGCACTTTTTTAAAAAAAAGATGCCATGAATGTAAAATAAGTACATTTCATTGAAGAATGACAATTATACTTTTTATTAGGTTAAATAAATGTTATTTCTATTTATATATAAGTAAATTAAAAATATTATTTTTAGTAATTATATTCTATTTCGAGATATATTAAAATGTTTATAATTTTTTGCCATTGTTAATACTAGTCTGTGGAAAAAAATGAAAAAAATGATTAACAAAAATATATTAATAAAAATGATTAAAAAAAAGATACAGATAAAATATATATTATATATATATACACACACATATATATATATATATATATATATACATATACATATATATATATATATAAATTACATATATATATAAAATACATATATATATATATATATATATATATATATATATATATATATATATTAGAGAAATAATTTTTGTTTTACTGTAAAATTTTGCATGATATCATAATAATATATATTTTTAAATATTTATAAAACTTCAATACATTCAACTATTATATGTTCATATTAAACATTTTTAATTTTAACATTCTCCCTAATTATAAAATACTGACATTAATACAATGTCAAACTTGATATATTTTTGTTAATATATTATTTTAGATACTATATTTATGAAATTGAATAAAAAATTTATAAGAAAATTTTTTGTAAACGTGTAGCAATAAATTTTTTTAAATTGTATACATTAAGCTTTATTTAGCATATACATTGGATCTAATAAAATACAACAATAAATTATATGTTGTAGCAATTCACGTATATATTATATCTATAACAAATAATAGTAAATATTTGTAGAACATTTTATACAACATAGTTAATACTATATCATAGTTAATACTATATGCTACATCAAAATATGTTGTCATCTTTACAACAAATTCTCTTTACCCTTTCATATAAATTTGCAAATCTGGATAAATAGTTAAGATAGAAACGTTTCGCAATGCTAGCATATGTGCAAAAAAATATTATGCAGGTTATTTTTAGTGGAATGCATATCGCTTGCTTTCTCCTTATATATAAGATGCAAATGTAACATATACAATGCTACAAAAAAAATAATAGTAATACTGCCTTTTTAAAGAGTAATTTCCGGTCATTGATTCTTTTTTTCCAGGCAACATAATTTCACTGATCCTTTTTCTCTGTTGCTTGCTGAAAGCTTGGAGGGCTTTCCTGAATTTAATATAATATTAATTATTTTAAAAATGACATATTTAAATAAAATACATACACAAAATCATATATTCACGTTAACTAATTTGTTAAAAAGTTACATTAAACTATAAAAGTTACTTACATAATATGCAGGTGGTGGAACATAAGCACATTGAGGTCTATTCGGATCATAGTATGCACTCTGAGTAGTCTCTGCAGCTTTGGTATCTACAACATGATGTAGTATGATGTATTTTTATTATACATTATACTGGAAAATATTAAGTAAAAAATTCAATACATACAATAGATATACAACGTGCCAAACTTTTTTTGATCTGACATTGTTCTATTTTATTAGAAATTCTATTTAATCCTGTAAATCTTTATAGATAATATATATAGACATGAAAGAAATAGTTAAAATATTATATATATATACACACATATATATATACATATATATATATATATATATATATGTATATCACCGATCGGTTTTTTTAAAATGCTCACTTGTTCGTAATTTCACATATCACCAATGAATTAAAACACTGTTAAATTCTTTTCATACATTAATTTTACACTTTTTTCCAATTATTACACCAGAGTAATTGTTATTGTATTCATTATTAGATAATTTTTATTTCTATAGTTAATCATTATACAAATTAGAATACAAAGTGACAATAGTATAGTTAATATATGTATATATTCATTTGCAAAGTATCTATGATACTAGTGAGATAATAACTGAGCTCAGTGAAAGTTAATCTTGCAATGTGCCACTCAAAGACTACTTATGCAACACCATTGCATAATATTAGAACTTTCAATTTTGGCAAGTGAGTCAACAGGTGTGTAGAGTAACTTAAAATTTTTTTCAATTTTAAATAAATTAAGATCTGTAATTGATAGGTTTTAAATAAAAACAGCATATAATGTTTTATTGACCTTTAATACCACGTTATATTAATTATATAACTTGTTTCATAGAGTCATAACCTCTTAGAAACAACACATAGTTAACTACTACATTACAATGGTTAATATATATTTGTGCAAATATTTTAAGATTTCTTAAAGACAAGTATACTTTAACTCTAGAACTACCAAACCTGTCAAAATAATGAATTTTAGATTTCTTTTGTTATAATTATTGAGTTATTATAGAATTGTTAAATGAAAATTGTTTTTATTTATTATTGTAAAATTAAATAAACTAAGAATAATAACGAGTATTTCTTCTTTTCAAATACCCATCAAATTGACAGATATAATAAAAATAGGTCAGTAGTTCTAATGTTAATCTATGTAAAAAGTAAATGTAAGAATGTATATATTTATATATAATATTTATATGTGTAACGATATAATACTTTAATAACTTTCTGCATAAAAATATGTTTTAAGATTTAAACTTTTTCAAAAAGCATATAAATTGGAATTTTTTGTAATTCATGATCAAAGTCTATTTAAATAAGATAATTATTTCGAATAGTAATTAGTACCTCCAGGATATTGTGTATATGGTGGACATTGTGTATATGGTGGATTTTGTGTATATGATGGACTTTGTATATATGGTGGGTTTTGTGTATATGGTGAATTTTGAGTATATGGTGGATTTTGTGTATATGGTGGACATTGTTGATACTCATTAAAATTTGGATACACACCTCTAAGGGAGTAATTGGGATTAGCCAATCCTGGTGCACCATTTGGTTGCGTCGGTACCCAACTTGATTGCTGATTGACACCACCCCACGCACCTTGTGAATGTTGTGGTGCTCCACTTGCATATCCCTGATAAGGAGAATTTATACCAGGATAGGGAGGTGGCATCTCAGTCATAAAAACACTATTTGCTGTAAATATAAATATATCACCTTAATTAATATTAAATTTAATGTTTATATATATATATATTTCAATTTTTCTTAGAAATATAATAATACATAAGATTACAAAGAAAATATTATATTGAAAGTTCACCTGGTGGAGCATCTGGAAATACATTGACTGGTGGCATCCATCCATAATTTCTAGTTGCTGGAGCTAGATAAGCTACCGGTGGTGCTGCATACCAGCCTGATGTTGGTGGTGTATACGGTGGTGGAGCATCATGTTCAGGACCATTGCGTTGTGCTGTTAGAAATATAAATAACAAATTGATGTAATTATGATGAATGATATTATTATTTTTATGACAAGAAATTAAAATATACGAATTTATATAATTGCATAACGTTATATCATTGACTATACCCATTTCTGCTGCCATTAACATGGCCTGACCAAAATCTATGGCACCTCCGCTCTTGAAATACAATTTAAATTTGCATTCTCCTATCCAATTTCCATTAGGCTGAGCTCGACATTTCCCTCTGATACTATTAGCACCAAATATAGGCTGCTCTAATTCAACTTCACTCAATGTAATAAATGGGAAACTAAAAGATTTCATTTCTTCATTTGGATTTTTAGCATTGAAGATCATTCTATGCGTTGTTAAGTATAATCTTCCACGTTTGGCACCAATAAATGCAGGTTGTTCTTGGCCATGAAATTCCATGGAAACATTGTCGCAATATAACAAAATACTAAAAGAGTATAAATCAACAATATGTTATAAGTGTTTATGTTATATACTTATGTTAATATTGTTAATACTTATTCCTTACATTTATTATATCTATTACAATATTGCTTACATTTTTTAATATATAGTTAAGTATACAAATGTTATGATAATGGCCAGTAAGACACGTCATATGCGAAATATATTGACATTGATAGCAGGATATACAGCGTAGGATAATATTGCAATTTTATTAAAAAATTCTTTACGTGGTAATTTTATAAATTATTAATGATTTTATAATAGTAGTTAAACTGTTAGTTTCGAGATATATAGGTGAAGTACAATACTACGACGTTACAGAAACGTTATTAGTTGATGCAATCGAACGAATGCTTTGCATTTATATATTTATGATATGTATGTATTTAACTATTTTATTAAACTTACACCTCTCCAGCGTGAATAAGTACGCCACCATTGGCGTGCGCTGTATTTAATGACATATTTACTTGAAATTATCAAACAAAACCAATCCCTATTAATACGCAACGGTCATCACTTCTAGCCATCAGCTGATTCATAAGTGATAAGGATAAGTAACTGCGCAGGCGCATACTATCGCGAATATAATACTTGGACTACTTGATTTGAAACACCATTTACATTTTATTTTTTATGTAAAATAAATATATGAATAATTTTTTTATTTAATCACACAATTGATTAAGTTAATTAGATTCATCAATGATATATAATAATAATATTTTCTTTTTTATCATCATTAATTTTAATTTTATCTAACATTTCTTTTTTATACAAATTTTCTTAAATCATTAAGAAATTGATTATGATAAAGAATTAAAAAATAAATATGAACTTAATAAAAAATCTACAATTTCATTTTTATTCTCTGCATTATCGACAATACTATAAAATACAGATCGTAACTCTGAAGTTGGAAAGAATTAAAATAGCATAGAAATCGTCGGTAATTCAGAAAGAAATCGTATCAACCGTATTCATGACGTAATAATTACTAATTAAAACAAAAAAATGATGCACAATAAGCCGCAATTAAAAATAAAACTATAATAAAGCTAAAAATTTTTTTCATTATTAGTATAAATATAATTCTTTCAACTATGTTCTACGATTTTATTTTATTATTGTATTTCCTTTAATTTTCAGAATATAATTAGTATCTATTTTGACTAACTTCGAAAAGACGTTAGTCCGTTTATTCGTATATTACTCGAAAAATTCAATAGAGTAATCAACTATCATTATATCGAAAATTAGATAATCTTTTCCATAGTAATATCTTTTTCAATTAGAATATATAATCACATAATACCATAATCACATAATATCGTATACGAAGGACGTGATGCACACATCAATGAAATATTCATCGTTTGAATCGAATAAGTATTATAATTATAATTATATATTTTGTTATCGAATTTTTTTTTTATAAAACGATTACATTAATTTGACTTACTTAAGGTTGACAGAAATAGAAAGAGATAGGGATAGGAGTATAGAAAAGGAAGTTTGTGTAGTAATGTTTGTAAGGCTTGAAACAGAGAGAAAGAGAGAGAGAGAGAAAGAGAGAGAAAGAGAGAAGGAAGAAAAGAATTTTAGAAGTAAGAAATGCTTTTGATCCATCCAATTTATTCGTGATTTCACGCTTGACCTCCTCCCTTATTATCGACAAAAGCAATCGTCGTCGACGGTTGTCTCGCAACTTGTCGTTACCGGTTGCATTGGCAAGGAAGGATGAACGACCGAACCGACGTCGGTGCAAACACTAATTTCGACGAGTACACGCAGTATTTGCATTTAATTACGGACGTTTGCGTAAAAGAGTTTCGCCCTCAGTAAATTCGCTCGCTCGTTCATTCGTTCGTTTCGCAACGAGAGGTTTACTGGATCATAATGATATAGTTGGAAAAAGAAAAAGAAATCAAAATCTTTGGAGACTAGTGGTAGAAAGGTGCTCAATGTATACTGTACATTGCGTAATTCTCTTTTGAAATATCATGGTTATAATGATAATCATTTATTTCTCTATTTAATTTCTAATAAATGTGATCTCATTTTTATTTGTCGAACGTTTCTTCAATATTTTCAAGAGCGTATATAAAAAATATTAAATACACGAATTTTTGTCATAGAAAATTTTATATCAGAGCGATTTTTCCAATCAATTTGACGTAAAATCAATTTGAGGGTTAGAAATTAGATATTGAATATTTATTATGATAGAAAATTTCATATAATATAAAATTAGATTAATAGATTCAAAAAAATATTATAAAATCTCTTTATTATTTTCTCATTTTAAATGGAAAGATCGAATGAACTATCTTTCGAATTATGTTTTTATAACCTTGATTGCAAACTCGCTCATTATCTTACGATATAAATTTTTATATTTTCTTACACACGCTATATTAATTATTATTTTTTTTATTTTTTCATGCAAACAGGAAAACCTTTCCTTTTCAATTCCGTCCTAAGAATATATCAGTTAACTTTTTCATTATCGATTCCACATTGCACTGCATTTAACGTAAATGTTTAATACGGTTTATCAATAAATAAAAAGAATCTTCTGAGAGGGTATAATAAATCATATTTTATTAATGATCAGCGTAAATAATTTATTATAATAAGCATTGAAGTTTCTTTTTCTCCTTTAATATTTTTTGACACAAGTCACGTGGTCCGAGCATGGGTACGCATACGTGTACCAGAGTATTTTATTTATTATGTTAATTTTTAACAAATACACAAGACACATATTTCGTTTGGATGATAAATTATTCAATTCGATGCTATGAAATCATTGAAACATAGTGTATATAATACAAAATCGAATTTGCATTTGTACGATAAAATTAAATTCCGTTACTTCATTTAAAAAAAAAAAAAAGAAAAAAAAATTCAAACGAATGACAAGTGCATTTACTCAGAGATTCAAATTAAGTTCATTTAATATTAAGTTAATAATATTATATCGTCATTGATTCCTATAAAAATAAAATGTAGATATTTTTTCTTCGTTCTTTAGATTAATTTAACGTTAATAGGAATGTAAAAAGATAAATTTTAATTTTGCGCGTTTTCTTTCTTTTATTTCTTTCTCTCTCTCTCTCTCTCTCTCTCTTTTTCTCTCTCTTTCTCTCTTTCTCGGATAACGTCACGTGACTCTGCGCGACGTTCCCACACATACATAATACAAACCACCAATTTCACATCTACAATACATAAGTACTTGTACTACGTTAGTAGATTTTCTTTTTATCGGAATATTTCAGTGCAATTCCAAGATGTCTGGTGCAATCTTAAGTAAGTTTTCTCTTTCTCGTTTTTCCTCATATTTAATATTTTTCAAACTGGTCGAAGATATTGAAATATTTCGAGGGTACATAATATATGTACACATTATATGTATACATACATATATACATTACATACATGCATACACACATTCACTCACTCATTCATATATATATATATATATACATATACATACATATATACATATACATACACACAATTTATTTTTTTTGTTCTTTTATCTTTCTTTTATTCGAAATTTAGGTGCTTCTTATTTTTACACACTTTACGATCTTATTTTTATTAAGGATTCTCTTGTAAAATAGGTTCGAAGTTTTTTTTACAAAATATCATTTACGATTATGTAAGAGTTCAGCTTAGATATTAGATATGAGTAAAAAACATCGATTTTTTTTCTTTTTTTTTAGTTTTGTTTCGTTTCAAAACTTCGTATTACGCAAATACCTGCGTACATCGTGATTGTATTCGAAGGATTTTTATTTTTGTCTTTATTTATTTTTTTTATTTTTTTTTCCTGTTTTCTTTTTCCTTTTTTTTCTGGAAGTTTCTATGGTCGTTTATAGAAACGATCATTTAGGATCGTTTATACCCTTTTGTTACGCACATTAGCGATAAATGCAATGTCGAGAGTGAAATAACGTGTGCACCTAATTGATAATAATTACGCCATCATAAAATCTCGATTCGAAGCGAATGAAAATCGTGTCAAGGACACTATCGGATCTCTCAAACGATTCTCATTTGCATTGAACAACGAAACCTTGGCCCAAACTTTATAAGTTTATTACCTCGTAATCATTATTATGATGTTATTTACGATTTAATATATTTCTAATGATAATAAAAAAAGACACAGAGAGACGGAAGAAACGAGAAGAAAAACAGTCATTTTAAATTCATAATCAAAGAATTTGAAAAATTCTTCTTTCAACATTTAAGAAAATTATTTTTCTATACGATGATACAATTTTATTTTATCTTTTATATATGGCACTTGGAAAAAATAACACAGTTAAATGTCTATGTATACATGAACGGGTAGATACTAATTGAAAATTGTTTTAAAAAAAGCGACATGTGGAAGTTTTCTTTTACATGCATGTAAAGATATTATCTAGGCAATGACTAGATAATAATTCAGAGAAAAAAAAAATGCATATTATAGATATACACACACACATATACACACACATTATATATATATATATATAATGTTTTTTAACGATTATGTGAATTATTAAATAAGAAGTTTATATACGACCAGTCCTAGTATAATACGAACTCCTCATTGTAATATATATTTACGAGTAACGTATATATGTATATAGGAAAATTATTGCCTATGGCAGTGATGCTCAAATAACGATATTTCTGATTTCCTGTAGTTTGGAATATTCTACTTATTGTTAGACAAATTGAGCATCACTGGTATAAAAAATGGCATTAAAATATTTTGAAGTATGATTGATTAATATTCTTTTTTAATATTAAAGCAAATATGGAAAGAATTGTGCGATATCAAATACGTAATGTACTTAAATGTGAAAGTCACTTCTTCTTCTTTTTTGTTGCATCATAGACATTAGAAAGTTTTAAACTAAATAATAAAATATCAATAGTAAAGAAGAAGACGAATTGTATGACAATAAAAATCTATATATTGCTGTCATATTATCTCACAATAAATACTAACTATGTGTAAAAACATAGACTCCTGTTCTTAAAATATAAAATCTTATTTATATACTTATAATAATTTAAATTACCTATGGACTGTACTATATAGAGTATTTTTTCATTGAGGCCATAAAATAGAATAAAATATACACGTATCGCAGACCACCAAAAAGTGGTAATTAATATATGAAATAGAATGAATCAAGTTAAATTTTGTGACAAAGTATCTGTCACTCAATTTTCAAATATTATGTGTGCAACTTCTATCTATTCTTATCACTTACATTTACTTTTACCATCGAGTAATTTCTTCCAGAGATCGAATTGTTCACTGTATTTAACCATGTGTATACTTATTCCGTGTTGTATATTACAGAGATTGTAAGGTATCCGTTTGTTGAGGAACTCATTAGCTTGCACTCGTTTAATTCCTAGTTTATGTGCAACAATTCCAGTCATGAAAACATCTTCAAGTTTAAGGTATGTTTGGTCCAAGGCAGCGTCATACAATTTACGCACTATGTCACTAGATAATAGATAAGCTGGACCTGTGGTAAAGTCTGGAAATACGGGCTGTTTAAATTGCATTTGTGATACATAGTATTTGCTCTTCTTATTTCTAATTGGTTTCCATTTTCTGGCCAATCTGCCAAATATTACACTTCTGTCTTTTGCATGCTTGTTTATAAATGCTAACAAACGTGGAACATTAATAAACATATCATCATCTGTCTTTAGAATAAATTTCACCTTGGAACAATAACTATCTACCCACTCCAAAATGGAGATTGTTTTAAGAGTGAGATTTGAATAAGAATCTAGAAACTTTCCACGTATTATATCACCATATATTCTTTGTTCTCGTTCAAGTACTTTTTCAACTTTAGAATCTAAAGTAGCACCTAGCATAAAGAGTATACTAATATCTCTTCTTTGTCCAAAGTGTCCCCAGGTTTGTCTAATTGCTGTCCTTGCTTCCACATGTGTAGGTGCGGACATTATAATAATAACCAAGTCCATTTCTTTACCAAAATCTGGACATTTTTCTGGTATAGGTACTGTATGTCCAGCTTCATATATGGCACGTGCATAATCATTAGAAATTACAGAAACACTTTTCCGTGTATTAACAACTATTTCTGTTTCCAATAAAGGTACTTCACTGCTTTGTTTCAGATTGAGCGACGTGCTTACGGAAGACAAAGCTTGAGAACTAGACGACGTAGAAAGTGTAGTGATAATTGTTGCAGTATTGCTTACATTATGTTGAGAATAAGAATTCAAAGACAAAGTTTCATATGTCATATTTTTGGGCACAGATTGGATATCTATGCTATGATTCGATTGATTTCGAAGTGGTTCCTGATAAACGGTGTGACCTGAAATAAATGAATCTATCAGCGAATCGTCAGATGAAGGACTTCGAAAGGAATAATCTTCAATGAAATATCTCTCTAAGGTAAGCATATAAAAATAAAAAGAATACTCACTGAAATTTCGAGCTGATGCACCAAACTGATGAATATCATAGAAGGTGGTACGATAGTAAGCATAAAAAGTCAGAACTATCAAGCCAAGAATAAGGGTCTGTAAAGGGCGATTACGAGGATGCAAGAATTGGTACATGACGAGTTGAGTCTTTTACGAGAAGGGGTCTCGTACGATTGTCTAATTTCGTTCTATCGAATAACAACGGCGTACATACGCCGTTTATTATATATCGTCGTGATTGTCACGTTTCGTTAGAATCGTTAGTATATTGTCGTGATATTCTCGCCTGGTGACTGACAACTACTGGCTACTACTATCGTACTCTTTTTAGAGTAGAAGCGAGCGTACAGGTATTCTCATACTGCGAGTAAAAGAAACTCTTGAGATTCTTCTCTCTCTCTCTCTCTCTCTCTCTCTTCCACACTCTTTCCCTTTTACTTGTTTCTGTGTTATCCTTTCACTAGTTATAGTTATGATTGTCGTGTTGTCCTGTAGAGAGCTCCTTCGAGGCTAACTCGAAGCTTAACAAAATGAACGAAGTATACACGTTCACCAACACCTTTCAAGACTTTTATTGAGATTCATTTTTCTACTTTCAGACACGTTATTCGATGGGCACCGACGTTCTCCACTCTTCTTCTTTGGTCGAGCTAGCTGGCACCCAATGGGCCACCCATTCGCCACCCATTGATATATAGTAACACGCATCGACGTCGATCACGTTACTCGAAGCGATCTTGCGTCGATTCTTCCTCTTCCTTCCTTCTCTCCTCTCCTCTTTTCACTCCCTACTTCCTGCCACTCTTTCCTGTTATAATATAGAGACGTTTGTTTTAAGCCTTATGCAGTGTTAAAAGGTTTTGACAGTTTGTTGCTATCTAAACGTTTTGACCTGAGTTCGCTCGATGACTCATCAGTAGGCCTGATGAGCGGACCCTACTTTAAACGTACTCAATATATTCTCGTTATAGGACAAACAGATCTCTAGAACCTATATATATATATATATATACCTGTATATATATATATATATATATATTGTAATGCTACAACGTATAGTGCTTTCGAGGGAACGTGCGATTTTTATTAGAATCTGCGACGCCTAGCGGCAGACAGGACGAAGTCTGTATACCTACAATGAGGGTGTTACTTTCATGGTTACCGTTAGTTCGAACATGGCGCGAGATTCATCGATACATGCTTTTTATATAAATTGAATTTCTCAAATTTACTAGGATATATATCATGGTTTTCGTATAGTTAAAAAAAAAAAATTCGAGATAATTTATTTTTAATTATTAGATTAGTTTATTTTGGAGTTATTGATATTTAAAAGAAATAATTTCCTATTATTATTCAATGTTCTCGAGGACGATCTTTCGCTATTAGAATCTTAGCTAAAGCAATGTTTCAAATTTTTAATTGGAATAGATATCGTAACTTTGAGTTGTGTAGATTGAAATTCGTTATCGCCATGGAACCGGATTTCCCTTCGTTATTCATTAAAGAAGAAAAAAAAAAGAAGAATAAATTAGAATTTCGATAAACTTTTCTATTTTATTATCAAACTAAGCTTATTTGTTTTTTTTTCTTTTTTAATTAGAAGACATATGTATGTTCTACTAAAGTAAAAATGGAATGAGTATATTTTTATCGTTAATACTCGGCTGAGTTTTCACGATCAATCTCATCCACAATCGGTGAACTATATACGAATAGTCTTCTAAAAATATCGCGAACGGATCTCTTTCTCGTTTGAATTAATAATTACATTAGTTCTTTTTTTTCTATTTTTTTGTTTTTTTTTTATACGGAAAATCCAATTATCTAGCTGATGTATAAGTAATTTGGGTACAAAATTTAATTTGAAATTTGTTTAATAGCGATGATAATAAAGGATTGATCAATCCTTTACATTATTATTAATTAGTCGATATTTTTAGCGAGGTAGATTTATCAATATTTTACTTTATACAGAGAATATATATATATGTGTGTGTGTGTGTGTGTGTGTGTGTGTATAAAATTGTGTAGTTATGTAGACATGTACTTGCAATAGAAGATACGAATATATGTACATACATAAGTGCATGCATGATCATTGATGAGTGAACGCTTTTTGAATGAGGATTGGAAACGAACGAAGCGCCATTTACTCGATTACCATTCACAGAGACTGTACCATTGGATGATAGTTCAGTAAACATTATCTTTAGATATTTTCAGAGTATAAATATTTTTTTTATGAGAAAATTTACTTTTGCGTATTTTTAATATTTGGATGTACTTTCAATAAGTCTAAGAATTCTATAAATTATTGGTATTTTTTTTTTTCTTTTTCTTTTTTTTTCTGTATTTTTAGGAAAACTTTATGATTTTGTCCTTCCTATAGAAGAATTCCTATCCATTCTTCCCATAGAAGAAAATATATATTATTAAAAGTGTCATGTTAGGAAAAGACAGGCTAGAATTTAGAATGATGAAATCTTCAGAGTCAAAGCTCTCTTTCGTATCGTAGTAGTTCGGACTGTAGTTATTATCAAGAGCAAGAGGTTGATCGATAACCTATTTCTCGGTGGTTGGCACAGCGCCAGAATTCCTGCTGAGTGCTGCTGACTCTTTGACATCACGACAAAATAACCTCGCCCTCGAGCTAGGTCATGAATGTTTTCAAAATTCGATAAAAAGTATGAGAAAGAGAGAAAGAAAGAGAAAGAGAGAGAGAGAGAGAGAGAGAGAGAGAGAGAGAGAGAGAGAGAGAGAGAGAGAGAGAGAGAGAGGGAACGCTACTATTGATAAGGGTCATTCATGAGGATAACACTACTACTGAAACAAGATGTTTCTTTCGTTTGAAGCTTATATGAACACCAACAGAGAAATATTATTTCATAAATTATATTTATATTCTACTATTTTTACTTTGTCCTTTCATTTGTACGAAAGATGAAATAAAAATTCTTGTCTTTTTTCCTTTTTTTTTCTAGATATCATCTCCTTCTTATGCAATGAACGGATCTTCTTCAACTTTTGTATAAAGCAAGCCTTCTATAATTCCAATTTCATCGGTTCGAAGTAAATGCTTGACCTTGCTGAAAACGGAGTAAAATTTATAGAAGCGTTATTGTCGAGTTAGCTAGCCAGCCGACTGGCCTTCGTGGATGCTCGTGAAAACGACGATGATACTACTGCAGTACCTATTTCAAGTAATATCATTTTCTATGTTAATATAAAGCGTTCATGAGAGAAATAAAGAGAAAGGAAACATTGCATTACATACAAATAGGAACCTTCGATCGATTCTTCTCTTTTATTATTCACTTTTATTTCTTTTTATTATCTTTGCGTTATGATAGAAAAACATCGAGACGATTAATAACAAGAAGAAGTTGTTAGCTTCATTACCACGTTACAATCCATCATCTCTAATGAATTGGCAGATAAGTCTCCTAATGCCTTCTCTAAAGGTTCTCATTCAACAGCTCGATCACCATGACCACCAGGAAGAGAGGGAGAGGAAGAGAGAGAGAGAGAGAGAGAGAGAGAGAGAGAGAGAGAGAGAGAGAGAAAGAAGAGAGAGAGGAAAGAAGAGAGAGAGGAAAGAAGAGAAGGACCCTTAACGTCGCGACGCGTTTAACATGAGTTCGATCATCATAAGTGCTATCTATGAATGACCATTGACGAGTTTAATGAATGATAGCAAATTCTCTTTGTTAATTGAATCGATTACGTGAAATTGCAAAAATTCCTAAAATGCAATTAACGGAGAGACAGACAATTCATCGGCGGTCGTTGCCGTTCGATCGTCTCTACGTTTGCGTCATTCGGTAAAAAATCACTGACATTGCGCTTTAATCGAGGATAGTCCTTCAGATTCTTTTCTTTAAACCTTTGAAAATCTAGCCAGCCATACTCGTCCGTAGTGTGCTCGATACCAAGTGCAGAATACTTACCGTTGAACTTGATCTCTTGTTAGGATCAATGCCAACGATATAGTTAGTTTATCGTTTTTGCGATCGTGTATCTATCATCGTGATTGATCTATTAATCTCTATAAATCGAGTCATTTGATATCTACATATATATATATATACATATATATATATATATATATATATATATGCATATGTATATATACATATATCTGAAAGATCATTCTCATTCTTATGACAATAATAAATCCTTAAAGATCACATTTCAAGCGAAATATACTCAAAGCAATTTCTCTTATACTCAAGCTTTTATTTCATAAAAATAAGATAGATATTTTAGATAGATATTAAATAGGTGTTCAAAGAAATTTGTCTATTAAAAGAAAAAAGAAAAAAAAACGTCAAAAGAATGAACTTGATTCTCAATAAGCGACACATTTCTTGGCAAATACCAACGATAACGAGCGTTAAATGATGCTGTTAGGGATCGTGGTCTGACCATAAACGGTCATTACTACTTTTAATCGTATTTTCTAATCGATTTGTCATTCCATAGGCGTCATGGGATGATCGTATGAAAGAACGAATCACTTATTTGGGCAACGAAGGAGAGAAGGAATGAGGAACGATGAGCTTACAAGCCAATCCTATAGACATCCCTGTCCTTCATCTTCTTTTATGTAAAATCAATATTCTCCGAAGTTCCTTTAACATCAATGTACGTAAGTACTTGATGCTCCGAATCAGAAAAGAAAAAGAACGATCGATAAACATTGTCTCATGAGTATTGTAACGTAACACATCAACCGTTACTAATCCAGATTAAAAACGGTTAGCTCGGATTAAAGACTTTCTTGTTTCTTTTTCGTTTTTCTTTTTTTCGAGTTAGAGACTAACTCAAAGGTAACGTCGAATTTGTAGATATTGATTTAAAATAAATTATCATGTTTCTAAATTCTATGAATTTGTAAATTGATCCGACAACGTATGAAAAAGATTTACAATCGTGAAAGGATTTAATAAGATCGACGAATCGACAATAAGCTTATTTCGAAAGTATCGTCACGTAAGCATGTTAAATTTTTTTTTTCTCTTCCTATCTCGTTCTTGCCATCGTTCAACGACAAGCCTTTAAAGACGTACTTACGATGATCTTAGAAGTTTACCGCCGGCGAAAGTTCCACGTATACGCTCGACACGTACCTACTAGTCGCATGAAAATGACACTGTCAAGCCCAACGACTCGGAGATCCACTTGACCCAAAATGTCGGAAGAAGCAAAAGAAGAAGAAGAATCAGAAGAAGAAAAAAAGGAAAAGAAAAAGAAGTAGTAGAAGAAGAAGAAATAGAAGAAGAAAAAGAAAAAGGAGGAGGAGGAGTTTGGCCTAAAGCAAAAGCACGGTTGGTTCTTTTACATCTGCTTTGGTATTCGCATACATGTCTATACGAAAGACTCAACCTATCAAAGGATGGGGAAAAAGGATTTAAGGGGGATGTATCCCTTACCCGGTAATCCTTAAATCCTTTAGCCTGACCCTGTCCTTCTCTGACTTTTTCTTTCTCAATTTCTATCTCCTTTCCATCTTCATTAATATTCTTTCTCTTTTTTCTCTCTCATTTTCTTCATGTTTTTCTTATCCCTTCCATTTCTTTTCTTTCTTCTCTCTCTCTCTCTCTCTCTCTCTATCTATCTCTCTCTTTCTTTTTCTCCCCCTCTTTTTCTCTTTTTATCTTCTATATAATATTATACGTATATAAAGAACGATCTAAGAAAGTGTTAAGAGAAGTCCTACGGATATCTGCGTACAGTTTGGAACGCTCAGCTGCTACAACGACTACCGCGCAGCCGATCGATGGCCCAGTAGCACTTGTGTCTCCCCACTTCTAACTTCGTCGTGCGTTTCTACGTCCTTCCCTTCACTCTTTGTCTACCTTCCGTGTTCACCCTTTCTCTCTCTTTCTCTCTCTCTCTCTCTCTAATATCATGCTTTTCATCAAACCTCTCTATCTTTACCGGTACTTGCAGCCCCCGAACCGCGCAAGTACTGCTTCCATTCGAAGCATACTTGCATCACGTCACGACGTTCGTCCCTCATCGTCGGACTGATCTAATTACCAAAGAGAAAGCGTACCTTTTAGGAAGCTTAATTGCGTAAAAAGAATTTAATAATATAACCGCCTTCTCTTCCTCTTTGCTATAAATGTGTCAAATTTCATCCACTGATACTAAGATATACTTGTGTGTGTATATATATATATGTATGTATGTAGATACACTGATGCAAAAATAGATACGTAAAGGGTGGAAAAGCAAGTACATACACTTATATATTGCATCCACCGTTTCGTGGCTCCCTCTCTATCGTTCCCGCTGCCAACACAGCGCTCTTCGTCTCTCTCACTTTTCGGCACGTCAGTCGACGAACGGAGCCAGTCGAACGCGCCACCCTGCGGATCACCGCAAGGATCCGTCGTCCGTTTTACTCGCTTTTACAACCCTCGTACATATTCTCTCCCTCTCTCTCTCTTTCTTTCTCTTTCTCTCTCTTTCTCTCTCTCTTTGTCTGTCTGTCTCTGTCTTAACTATCAGTTTGATTGACAAGTTTGATTTTTATCTAATTATCCTTCTCTTCGTCTCTCCAGAAGGAAACATCATCGACTACTAGAGTCTATTTCTAACTACATTGAAGCTTTTACTGAAGATACACATTATCATCTAATCAAGACTTAATCAAGAACGCGTGTACGTGTTTCAAGACATCATAATGGCTGTACGATTGTCTTCTATGTCGTGACCACGCTACATCTGATACGAGGTTAGTCTCTGTGTGTGCGTGTGTTAATGTGCGTGTACTTAAAGATCAAGATACGACTTATACTCCTCAAGCTATTATCAACATTGTCCTGTTCTTTCTTTAACTTTGGACACACCCAGCTACACAGTAACGTACTTCTAGTGGCTGTGAAACAGCCGATATGCCTACCTGGCTACTAGTAATGGCGAAGCCTCCAACTCGTGTTCAAGCTAGATCAATAACACACTGCTGAGGAGTCGAACCAGCCTCGACACGAAGAAACACGCTCGTTGTTTCCTCTGTCAATCTTTTTCGATCTATGTATATAACTTTTTTAGTATATTACTTTATTTTCTTAGAAGGAGTCATGATTAATTCATAACTATGGAAGATATAATCCAAGAACCAAGAACGTTCTGAGTTCTTTGATGTTGGTGTGTTATCACTTATAGAGAAAAACAGGTGTTTTTATTCATGATACTCAACAACTTTTAAACTTTTTAAATATTATTTGCTGATCCTTGATGTTAATTCGCCGAGATAACTTTTTCTCTCTCTCTCTCTCTCTCTCGCTCTCTCTTCCCCTATTCCTTTCAAGGGATTAATTTTAAACTAATACTAAAAAAATAAAAATCTTAGAACACACTATGCGTGTATAGTTCTTAGAACAATCTTAGAACAACTCTGACTTCTATGATTGTCATCAAGCTGGAATAATAAATACGAAGGATTCTACTCGTTTTTAATGAACCTACTTACCCTTCAAGGAATTTACTCGAGGATCTATTTTTCTTCACTTCTTTCTTATGCTCTTTCTCTATAGTTTTTTCTATTTTTTTTAACGGATTAAAATGTTTATATACATATGGTAGCGTTCATAGTCTATAAAAAGAGCGAGCTTTGGGAATAAAAAAAAGAAAAAAAGTGAGAGAGAGAGAGAGAGAGAGAGAGAAATACTCTGAATGCGGAAGCTCTGCTCTGTTAAAAGTAGAGCTCAAAATTACGGAAATGAGGACACGTTTCCCAAAGCCCTGATGATGGATTACTCTTTCTCTCTCTTTCTTTCTTTTTTTTTTTTACTTTATTATATATTCGACGACTTTCATGAAATTTCTCGTGAAATTTTTTTGTTTCCTTCTTTATTCTTCTTTTTTTTTTTTTTATCATTGATTACAAACGAACTGAGAAAAATTTGCAAGATACAATATCGTTCCGAGTAATCTAGAGCTTCGTTTGAACTGGTTCTGTTATCCGTCCAGCTGAATGGAACACTAGCGGTCGGTGGCTTCGTCATTCATGTTACAACAGGAAAAGCTTTATCGTGTTTGTGGTAGAGATATATGTACTTCAACATTGTTAGATTAAATATTATTTTTCTTTTTTTCTCTTTTTAAGATCTTTTAAATGCCAACGTTTAAACAAGAACGTCGATAATCTGGATTACGTTGTTTGTCCAGTTAAATAGGCCGCTGCCAATCGATATTATTTGTTATCTCTTCTGAACTCTTTTTTGCGACACAGAAAGGAAGAAAGAAAGAGAGAGAGAGAGAGAGAGAGAGAGAAATGAAAATTTCATTGAAAAATAAATCTTTTTTATAAAAACGTTATTGTCTCATACGATATAATCGTATAAATAATTGCTCGAACGACCTCAAAGTTCATTTTTCTCACGTCGATTAGCCTCCTTTAGTGTCTGACGTTTGAGTTAATGCAGTTCCAACAAAAACTTCTTCTTTTTCTATTTTTCTTCTCTTACTTTTTCTTCTCTTTCTTTTTCTTCTTTGAAATCTCCAACCACAGACAGCAATCATTAATATTAAACAGGTTTGTAATGCGGTACGTAGAAAGAAGCTTCTAACAAAAGTTAGAAGAGATATAATGGAAAGAATTAAAGCGTAGTTTATACTACTCTTTATTGTTAACTCATACCTGAAAATTTTTATTAACGTGGTTTGTATTGAATAAAAATAATATAAAAATTCAGAAATGATTGATAATAATTATATATATAAAAAAAAATATATATATATATAGATGAAAGATAATATAATAATGATAATTATTAAAAAGATATTAAAAGGAATATAGATAAATATACATGTTTGGAATAGAAAATCGTACAATATTAATTTGTTAAATAATTTATAAAATTAACGTGACACTTTTCATTCCGTTAATAGATTAAAACAAATGGAAATATAATATTAAATGTTATTCATAATTAATAAAAATTATTAATTAACAAATGAACTTGAAAACAAGATGACAAAATAAATATTATCAACTTGGAATTATTACTTAAGACTTATTTAATTCACTATTGTATTTAAATCAAAATCAAGTCGTCTAGACGGTTTTCGCGTGTCGAGAGCCCTATGAAAAATTCATAAAGATTAATTGGGCCGGGCTTAAATACGACTAAGATTTTATCAGACTCGTCCTGAGCAAGTCCTTTGAAATTTAACAAACTTTTAAAATTTCACTCGAATAAATTTGTTATTATAAAAATCATATATATCAATACATATCTTTTCTTTTTAATTGATTCACATTATTGTACAATTTTTCTCACTTTGATTTGTTCATTAATTTGGATATTAATATAAATTTCAAAAATTATTAAATATTTCTTTGCGCGTTAGTAATGACTTTTTACAAATGTTATATTAATTTCTTTGTTTCAATCTTTATACCTCTTCTCATGTTTTTACGCACATTTACGTAGGAAGATAAGCTCGTTCTACTATGACCTTTATGAGTCTTCCTACATCGTTCATTGATTAGGTAACGTAAAGTGCGTACACTTACACCCACACAAACTACACACACACACACACACACACACAAATATTTGTACCATGTTAGTAAGAGAGATTGCAAAATAGTAAATGTATGAATAGATTCCTTTGAAAACTGTATTGTTGCATTTTTAGTGATTAGATGTATTTATCAATTTGTCTATGATGAATTATGCGAATTCAGGGATTTCCAAATCCTTATTTTTGTTGATTCGGAATTTTTCATTTTCGTACCTCTACATTGTGTAAGAAAAAGATAAAGCTCTGCTTTACGTTTGTACGTGTGTATATATATACATGTGTATGGTCTACATAGTATATATATATATATATATATATATATTCTATGCAGATGACAAATCTTTTTCTCTTACAGTTGGATGCACTCTTGCATTCACACACACACATACATACATACGAGCACAAAAGTTTTGCATTCACAAGAACATGTATTTTTCACATTTACGAGATCGTCCATGGAGAGTAGAAGTAAGAGAGAAAGAGAGATACATTCACTCAATGGAAAATAATTTTCCTTGAATTTTTCACGAAAAAATTTCAATCTCATATACCATTAAAAGAACTTTTTATTTATTATCAAGCTTCCTATTTTTTTTTTTTTTTTTATTGCTGTCCTCTTTTTTTCTTTCATTATTCATTGAATTATTATATAAAAATATGAAGATACGTAATCATATAATCACGATTGTTTCTCGAACGAATCGTATCAGATAAATTCTTGTTTATTTAATATGTTTGTATATTGCGTAATAAATAAATCGACAAATTTGATTATACTAATCGTTGTGCACTTTAAATCTATTATTCATCGATTTAACGAGACTTATGTGAAAGATTTGTATTATTTAAAGAATTAAAATAAAAAAGAAAAACGTTAATAAAGATTATAAAAGCGTCATCGATGAATCGTTTGTTTAACGAATGGATTATCTTCGTTTCAATCTATAAGGATTATATCTATATAACAAAAAAAAAAAAAAGTATAAAAATTTGTCGATATAACATGAAAGAGTATTTCGTTCATTTGGTTCGACGTTAATTAAAAGTAACGCTTAACATATGATTCAAATACGAAGTCAAATTTTCATTTACTTTAACATAATATTTATATGTGTATATACTCACAAAACTATGTAGGAATTATGCGCGCAAGTTCATAGAATATTTCAATTAAGTTTTGCGTCGTATTTTCCGTAAATCAATGTTCCAGCAAACACCGTTCACGTGCATTTCTTTTGTATTTTTTGACATTTGATAAATTATCCGTCATGCTCGTTATACGTAACATATGTAACATTTTCTTTTTTTTTTTTTTTTTTTTTTCTATATATAACACATCGAACATCAAACAGATTTTGCATATATTTGATTAAGCCAATATTGGAATAATTTTTCTGAACGATAGAATACACGGTATATTTTTGGAAAAATTATCTATTTATATATATATATATTTTATATTAGAATTTTTTTTATTATGAATCATGGTCGTAGTATTATATATAAATAGTTATTATGTGGAAAAATTTTAAATAATAATATTTAATCGTGCGTTATATAATGTTCATAGTCTGATCTGATCGAATAAAGACGAAGACAAATTTCGATCAAAGCTCTGTACATTGGAAGTAAAAGGCAACTTTACTCTGTATGTGCCGGTCTTGCATTAATAATGCACTAAAACGATTACTTTGAGGGTTCTCTCTCTCTCTCTCTCTCTCTCTCTCTCTCTTTCTCTCTCTTAGGGAACATAGAGTGTAAATAATGTTCAAATTTTCGAGACGAGTACTATGATAAAGGATGTGTGCCTGAAAGTATGTCTTTGGATTTAATTAGATCGACCGTTCTTCCCTTTTCTGAATGATGTTATCTAACTTATGTACAATCCATATATATATATATATATCCATATATATATATATATATCCATATATATATATATATATATATATATATATATATATATATATATTATTGTATGTATGTCTATAACATTATCATAGTTGTTTTAATTTAATGAATTGAACTCTATCTTGCTATATATCAATTTACTTTCCTTTAACGATTTCATTCAATCGATGGATTAATCAATGAAATTATTTTAATTCGATAATATCATAATTGATGATGTCTATAGTTTTAATATTTTTCTTTTTAGTATTTTTTTCAAAGATCGTATATAAATATATGCTGATTGTATATTAGATTATATTTGATATATTATTTATCTGAATATTTGATACATGAATAATTAAAATTTTGCAAATTTTTGAAATTAATTTATACGAATGAATATGATGATACATATCATATTCAAATAGAAAAGAGTAATCGTATTTTTTCTTTCTTTTTCTATTTTTTTTTTTTCTAATGCTTACGTGACAAATGATGAGTAATACATAATAGCTTGAACCTTTATACATATATATATATATAAATACACATAGACATGTATTCGTCTATGTATATTCACTTTTCGTGCTTGGAATGACAATCGGTATCAACGTTGCGGCGGAAACATTTGCATTTCTGGGTTAGATATTAACACGCCCGTATGCGCGTTCATCGTTTTGTAGTCTTGTTGTGGTATTCACACGAGCTCATTTCTATAGTACTAATGCTATACCAAATGCTTATCAGACACATTTAACAAACGTGCCATCGTTGTTGAAATGATTTCATTCTAGAAAATCACCAAGAAATTTCATATTAATTCATACATGTATCAGTTCCCTTTTTCTTTTTTTTTTTAATTATTTTTTATTTATTTATTTTTTATTTTCTCTCTCTCTCTCTTTCTTTTTTTTTTTTTTCTTTTGAAAGAAGAAATCTTTTCTTCGGCATGTCTGACTTATTATCGATATTTCCACTTACTTCGTATCACTGTGCAATCTGAAAAAGCTTTCCAAGAGAGTGAAATATTACAGTCGAGATGTGTACATATATATATATATATATATATATATATATATATATATATATGCGTCGTTCAAAAGCTGTTCAGTTCCCCTTGAAACCTTAAAGCTTTTCAAAAGAGTGGGATGGTCGTGTACGATGATGATGGAGGACGTGTTCTTTTGAGTAGTAAAAGACGAATATATAGCGAGACGATTATATAGCTAAGCTTGTTCCTATGAAATAAACAACGTGAATTTGTTAACATTCTTTTGCCCTCTTTTACAAATTCACGAGACAAGAGAATTATTAAAGGAAAACTGAATTAAATTGTATAACTTGATAAAGTGCGATAATTGTTTGATTTTTTAACAAATGAATCGTATCTAATTGAAGCACGAAGGAAGAATATTGAACAATTTGACGATATAAAAATATTAATATGATTTGTAGAAAGAAGAAGAAATAAGGTGAAAGAAAGAGGAATTTAGGATAATTTCGTTCAGCAAGACGGATCCGTGATCAAGTGAAGCGGCTGGACCTCCTCCATATTGGGAGGTCGAGGACCGCTCGGTGAAGCGTTTGGGCCTTGGGAGAAGGCCTAACATATATAAAAGATGATAGATCCAAGTTCATCGGAGGAGGAGAGTGAAGAGGACCAGAGTACTCACCATGGAGGTGGCGGCGGTGGCCGTGGAGGTAGCGGAAGCTCCCACGGTTCCCACCACCATCCTGCTGGTGGTCCTGGAAGTGGTACAGTTTCTGGGAGCGTTGGTTCGCTCGCATCGGGCATCACCGCGTCTCCTGGTGGCTCGAACCACGTCGGTCCAGCCGGTGGTATTGGGACTCATGGCCCAGCTCGTACTACCGGCACGCTCTCACAAGATTCTGGCTCCACTCTCGACGTACCAAGTATTACAAGTGCAAGAAATTCTTTGTCACCGTCTATGAGCGCAGCTCAAGATGCTGCAAATTATTCTCAAAGACCAACCAGTCCTTCACCGTCTGTTGCCAGTGAAAAAACTGAAGTGGATTTGCAGGTATCTGTCTTATCATTGACTTTGATCAACCACCAGACGAAGCTATATGCTTATTTTATTTTATTTTTTCTTATGTTTCATTTAATCTAAGAAATATCTACAGTTGTAATCCTTGATTGTTTCTAACATAAATATGCAAGTATATTATTATTGACTTTGAATACTTGCCAATAACTTAGTTTTTATTTATTTTTCTTTTTTTTTTTCTTTTTTATTTTCTCTCCATGTTTCATTCGAACAATTGCAAGTTGTTACGTTTTAATCATTCGTAATAATTTTATATTATTTGAATAAATTTGATCGGTCTTTTAGGATAAACAAGAAAGAGAAGAAGAAGAACGAAAGACCAGGATACAACTGTACGTTTTTATTTCACGATGTATTGCTTACCCATTCAACGCGAAACAACCGATGGATATGACACGTAGGCAAATGAAAGTAACGAAACAACAACTCGAAACAATCTGCTCTCGCTTTCAGGTAAATCGGGTATCTCTTGTCAATTGATCTGAAACACGAATACGTTTAGTTCAATTAGTTAAATGAAATGTTTGTATGTATGTATATATATATATATATATATATATGTTGTTGAAATCAACAAAATAATTGTAAAGTTAAAAAACAATTTTACAATTTTAATGTCGTAGTGTTAGATACGTATGTATATCTATATAATTAACAGGTGTTAAATTTATAATATCGAGATGTGTTAGAAACCTTTTAAAGGAGACGGTAATTTCAAGAAGCCTTACACGCGGAGTCTTACAGTTGATTCGTGTATAACCTTCACCTTCGTTATACACTCTCTGATAAATCGATGTGATACTCTGCTTTAAATTATCTACGGTCGCGCCGATGGTCGTCAATAATTGCTCTGATGAGGCCCTAATCATATTAGTTCCTATTTGCTCGAATATACATATGTATATAATTCGTTATTATCGACAATAAATTTTCATGTCATCACGGGGAACGGATTTCCGCATATAGACGATGTCATTTTATTATATTGACATTGGAACTAGAAAATTCAATTAAACAAAATGAGGTCTCCGTGTTTAGCACGTTTTTCCAATTGGTAAGATAATTTAGTAAAAATTTTTCTCAAGAGTAATACTTTAGTAATTTTAATGATGTATGGAGAACGTTATTATTCAAGGGAGAACATTATTATTCAAAGGAGAACTTAACTGAGGGACTAGGTTAATAGGTTAACGAGATCCTTCTAATTAAATTTGGTTAATGAAACAAACTAGAGACAACAAAAAAAGAAAAGAATAAGAAAAATAAAGAAATGAAAAAAGAATATGGCCTTTAAAAAATCTTATTAAACGTTTTGATTTTCAGGGATTCTTGAAAGGTGAAACGCAGATAATGGCCGACGAGGCTTTCCGCAATGCTATACAGAATTACTTCGACGTATTTCTAAAATCAGACAGAGTAGTTCGAATGGTACAAAGTGGTGCTTGTTCCCAACTCGACTTCCGTGAGGTATTTAAGAAGAACATTGAAAAACGTGTTCGAAGCCTCCCGGAAATCGATGGGCTGAGCAAAGAGACTGTGCTTACGTCCTGGTTGGCCAAATTCGATTGTATTATCAAGGGGACAGGTGATGAAGACACAAAAAGGCCTTCCAGGATGCAACAGCAGTCTTTGAACTCGGAATTGATATTGTCGAAGGAGCAGTTGTACGACATGTTTCAGCAAATCCTTGGAATTAAGAAGTTTGAACATCAGCTTCTGTTCAACGCCCTCCTGTTGGACTCAGCCGATGAACAGGCTGCCGCCATCAGGAGGGAGCTGGACGGTCGCATACAAAAAGTCAACGAAATGGAGAAGGTATTTTATTTCTTTTATTTTATTTTCGCTTTTATGTCGTCCATTTAATCCTATTAAAAGGCTTGCATTGGGACACAAGTTTTTCTATTTCTTTTTCTTTCTCTTACTCTTTTACTATCTCTTTCTTTCTCTCTTTGTCTCTCTCTCTCTCTATATATCTCTCTTTCTTTTTCTCTTTGTCTCTTTTTATATTTCCTTTGTCTATATTCCTCTTCTGTAAGTCTGAAGAACATCTAGCAATCCTTCTCCTATAGAACCGCAAGCTCATGCCGAGGTTCCTCCTGAAAGAGATGGAGTCGCTCTACATCGAGGAACTCAAGTCGTCTATCAACCTGCTAATGGCTAATTTGGAGTCGTTACCGGTCTCCAAGGGTTCGATAGACAGCAAATACGGGCTGCAGAAGCTGAAGCGCTACAACTATCGTGGTGAGCGCTCCCGCTGCCGCGGTCAGGGTTCCCTCGCTAAACTGGAGGGCGACTCCGCTGATTCCGATCCCCAGCTGTCAAAAATAGACGTCGGCCTGACTTTCCAATTGGAAGTAGTTGTTATGGAGGTCAAAGGCCTAAAGAGTCTAGCACCCAATAAAATAGTTTATTGCACTATGCAAGTGGAGGGTAGCGAGAAGTTACAGACTGATCAAGCTGAAGCGTCCAAACCAATGTGAGTAAATGTTATTATTGAAATTATTTTAAGAAGGACGTGAAAATGGATGAACAAAAGAAAAGGATTCTGACATCTTTTTTTTTATTCCTTTTTTTTTCTTTTCTTTTAATGTTGTTAGGTGGGATACTCAAGGCGATTTTACCACGATGCATCCTCTCCCCGTAGTGAAAGTTAGACTTTACACCGAAAATCCAGCTGTATTGGCTTTAGAGGATAAGGAATTGGGAAAGGTTGTATTAAGGCCAACTCCACTTTCGTGCAAGGTACCAGAATGGCATCGAATGAGGGTACCAAAGAATAATCCCGATCAAGATCTCCGTATGAAGATAGCTTGTCGAATGGATAAGCCATTGAACATGAAACACTGTGGTTATCTTTACGCTCAGGGCAAGTCTGTATGGAAAAAATGGAAGAAGCGATATTTTGTGTTGGTCCAAGTCTCGCAGTACACATTTGCGATGTGCTCGTATAAAGAAAAGAAAAGCGAGCCGTCGGAAATGATGCAGCTCGATGGCTATACCGTGGACTATATCGAAGCTATTTCCGCTAATCTCATGGTCGGCATGGATTTAGAAGGCGGAAGGTAAATTTCCGAAAAAAAAAAAAAAAAAAAAAAAAAAAAAAAAAAAAAAAAAAAGAAAAAAAACTTAAAAGGAGATACCTAACGCCGTAGTGGCATGCTGTTAGTATAATTTATGTAGTTTCTCAATGATCAACGGCAATCAGTGATGCATAAACATATTAAGAGCACTTTGTTGATATTTTCACAATTAGAATACTATCTGTACATCCTTTTATTAGGCATGATCACAATGACTCTTTACAACTGTAGTAAAAAATTTGCTGTTTCTTCTTTTCTTTTTTCTTTTTCTTTATTTTCTACAATTAATAAAATTGTAGAAAAAGTAAAGGCAAAGAATTTTGTCAACGCTTTTAGATCGACTCGAGTTTCAAAAGCCATGACTCGCTCGTCGAACTGTTTGGGATTCGAATGTAATTCAAATTATTGGATTTTCCATAGATTATCCAAATATTTTAGAATTCTCCGAATTCCATAAGAGATTCGGCTAATTTAAGACTCGATTCGACCTAGAAGTTGTGCTTCGTAGTAGATCCGATAGTTTAATGTATATATATATATATATATACATATATAGATGGGTGTATAGATAGAACGAACACACGAACAAGTGCACAGATTGATTATGATAAATAAGACGTTTCTTTTAAGATTTCATTGAAAGCAATGCAATTTCAGAAATGGAGTGCTGTGGATAGGTTGATGCTAGTCCTTTAAAAAAAATAAAAAACTCTGGTCATGCGTTACATGTACTCGACAGGTTCTTTTTCAACGCGGTACGTGAAGGTGACAATATAGTCTATGCCTCGGATGACGAAAACGAATGCCATTTATGGGTAATGGCTATGTACAGAGCGACAGGACAGTCACATAAGCCAACACCACCGGTATCCGTGGCAGACAAGAATTCAACGATTAGCAAGATTCAAGGAGATGCTGACAGAGCTAAGAAACACGGAATGGAAGACTACATTAGTGCAGATCCATGTAAATTCGATCATCATGCACTTTTCAAATTTCTACAGAATTTAATCCTGGACTACAGACTGAACGATCCTTATTGCTCCTTGGGTTGGTTCTCTCCTGGTCAAGTTTTTGTGCTCGATGAGTATTGCGCTAGGTAATGTTATAAACATCATAAAACACTACTCTGTAAAAGAGAATTAGTGATTATTTCATTATGATTAGAAGATGTGTTATAGCGTAATTATGCGCAAAAATTAATTATTTATCCTATTAATGTGATGCCTTAAAGTATGCAACTCTCCAGATACTGCAGATAATGTTGTTTGCAAGTGCCATCTATTAATAAAAAAACAAACTTTTTTTACCCCTCGATATATGCAACACCGTCATATCTATATGACGAACATGGTTGTCTGCTATAAGGGATAAAAGAAGTTAGTGATAGATGGCGCTGGTAAGCAACATTAACGATAGCTTTCGAGTATTGCATATCTCCAGGCGTAATGATTATGTATATTTGTATGTTATATATAAATAATATTTTGAAACGAAATAATAATATAACGGAATTATATCTAAAAAATTATGATTAGTGAAAAATCATTAGATTACCGTATTCATTAATTGTTATAGATATGGTGTACGTGGTTGCTTCCGTCATCTTTGCTACCTACACGATCTTCTAGACAGAGTTGATCGTGGACTTATGATAGATCCAACGTTGCTACACTTCAGCTTTGCTTTTTGTGCTACTCACGTTTATGGTAACACCACGGATGGTGTTGGTTCGATTACTCACGAGGAGAAAGATAAATTTCAGGAGGTCAAAGAGAGACTTAGGAAAATCCTTGAAAAACAAATTACAAATTTCAGGTAATAATAATAATTTGGAGATATCTTTGAAAATGTTTTACCCACATAATATATTTAAAAATAAATAAAATGAATAAACAAATAAATTGTATGAATCGTGCAGATATAGCTTTCCATTTGGACGACCAGAAGGTGCTCTGAAGTCTACTCTATCTCTTTTGGAACGTGTCTTAATGAAGGATAGCGTAACACCAGTTCCCCAAGAAGAAGTTAAGGGCTTGATCAAATCATGTTTAGAAACGGCAGCTCTTGTTAATTATACAAAGCTATCGGCGGAGGCTAAAATCGAAGACGATTTCAGTGGCGAGGTTTGCGTGCCTCCTAGCAAAAAGTTGGAGGATTTGATACATCTTGCCGAATTGTGCGTCGATCTCCTCCAACAAAATGAAGAGCATTATTCGGAGGTATTAGTTGGGTTTCTAGAACTGAGTGTCCATTTTCGGAGTTCTCGAGAGAGAGGGTAGCATGCTTCAAATACGGATTTGGTAAGGGTCCGCAGCCTCCTCAGAAGACAAAACGCGTTGATCATTTTTTCATTATCATAATCGCGAGGAATTTTTAACTGAAGTAAAATAATAATTATTGTTTATTTTATGTTCCTTTTTTTCATAAGAATAAAATTCATTCACAACACTCGATATATTCTCACGACGTACACATAAAGTAGAAGTAGTGTCTTCTGGGTCCTCGAGGACTCTGTGCTCAGGGTAGCGATCCTACTGCTCTGAGCTAAAAGAAAAGTGCCCACCGTATATGTGTGACGTCCAATATTTTCACGATCTGCTCCTACTATACTGTACCGCAGGCGTTCGCCTGGTTTAGCGATCTCATGGTGGAGCACGCCGAGATCTTTTGGTCGCTTTTTGCTGTCGACATGGATAAGGTCTTGGCTGAGCAACCACCTGATACCTGGGACAGTTTCCCACTGTTCCAGATTTTGAATGATTACCTTAGAACAGACGGTGAGTTAAACTAAAATACAATTGAATATTATATAATTATAAATCTTATTATTTGATTTATTTAAAAAAAAATTTTCAGACAACTTGAAAAATGGAAGGTTTCATCAACATTTGCGTGACACATTTGCTCCTTTGGTTGTACGATACGTTGATTTAATGGAAACATCAATCGCCCAATCAATTCACAAAGGATTCGAAAAAGAACGTTGGGAGATAAAAGGAAATGGTTGTGCAACCTCCGAAGATCTTTTCTGGAAACTCGATGCTTTGCAATCGTTTATCGGTGGCTTACATTGGCCAGATCAAGAATTTCGCCAACACTTAGAGCAACGATTGAAACTTATGGCCTGTGATATGATAGAATCGTGCATACAGAGGACAGACACGGCTTTTCAGCAATGGCTTAAAAAGGGTGTGACGTTTACATCGACCGATTATATAATACCATCGGAAATGTGTGCTATGGTGAATGTTATTTTGGATGCAAAGAATCAGAGTTTCAAACTTTGCACTGTCGATGGTGTCGACGTGGTATGCGATTGATTTATTTATAAATGTTTATCTAAAATTCTTTTATTAAATTCTCTATTATTATTATTATTATTATTATTATTATTATTATTATTATTTTCTCTGTTACTTTTTTCCAGCATCAATATCACTCAAAGATCGATGATCTGTTAGAAAAAACTTCGGCCGCAATGAATCAGGGAATGATTAATAAATTAGTTACAGTTTTGGAAACAACATTGTCCAAGTTATCTCGTTACGATGAAGGATCTCTTATCGGTTCTATCCTTAGCTTTACGGTACGTCGTTCATTGTTCTTTTGTCAATCAAATATTGCATTGATGTAGCATGAATTTTTCTTCTTTTCTTTTTTTTGTTTTCTTATACGTAAAAGGCTTTAGTGTAGATAGTTTCAAAAATGCCATAGATATTTTATGGGATATTTTGTAGAAGGTGTCGGGAAGCGGTAAGGAAATGGGTCAAGCTTACGTTAATTTCACACGGAATTGTATGGATCAGATTCGTAGCAAAGTACTCGACGAATTATGGATTTTGACTTTCTTCGAGGTAAATTATTAATTATAGATGGACATCAATGTTTCTAGATGTCTTACTTTTTTTATGATATACATCAATTCTTTTTTTCCTTAGCAATGGTACACCGCACAAATCCAAATGCTGTGCACGTGGCTATCCGAGAGACTCGATCATAGTTTACATCTTTATCAATGTACCTGTCTCGCTCACATCGTCAAGAAGATCTACTCGGACTTTGAGCTTCAAGGTGTGATGGAGGAAAAGCTCAACTCGAAGACATATCAGACTATATCCAAAAGGATGCAGACGGAAGAAGCAACTTGTGCCTTAACCATGAGCGCTCAGAACGAAGAGTATGTAATATTCAGTTAATGCATTTAAGCCGAATTATTATGAAAATGATCTACGTCATATTTCGTTTTTTTTTTCTCTTTTTTTTTTTTATACAACGACGAGAGCAAAAGAAAAAAAAAAGTAAATACATATTCCAAATTTTACGAGAATTTTAAAAAACGCGAGGAGATATAAAAAGACAAAATATGTCATTTAATATCTTCAATGATTTAGATCACGTTTCATAATCCATCGGCTGCTCACAAGCAATTTATCATTCATTCTTAATTTAATTGTTTTCCTCGAATTCTTTTTTATCAAAAAAAAAAAAAAAAAAAAAAAAAAAAAAAAAAAAAAAAAAAAAAAATACATTCTCGCAGAGGACTTTCCGAGAATGGTAACGACGAAGACGTGGAAAGACCAAAGACAAAGGTGACGATCGTGGAAACGATGGGAGGAGAAGATGCGAATTACGTAGCGAATATTAGCAACGTAACTTCTAACGTTGTTGGCAAAGTTGGCAGTATGTTTGGCAAGGGTATCGGTGGTCTATCTGGCAAATTTGGTGGTGCCACCAGTTGGTTCTAGTTATCATTTTTAGTATTCTGCCAGTAAACTTTATATTTGTCTAGAGGAATGTTCCTTCGTTATAAGTAAATAAAATTACACAGACGGACTGACGGACGGACGAACGGACGGACAAACAGAGAAAGAGAAAGATAGAGAGAAATAAAAAGAGAAAGAGAGAAAGAGAAAATGAGAGAGAACTCAGGTGACAGGACTTCTAATACATAAATATAGTACAGTATTTTAAACTTATACAATGATTTAGAATTTCGTCCGTACAGCGAATTTTCCTGATTAAATGTTTTAATCGATCGGGAACTATTTCGATTTCTCGCAGTTTGATTATGAAATTCCACGTTTTTAACTTATAGCAATGTTACGATCGATTGAAGATCTTTTGAATAGAAGAAAAAATAGAAAGAATGAAAGAAAGAAAGAGAGAGAGAGAGAGAGAGAGAGAGAGAGAGAGAGAAATTGTTTTTAATATCTACACGTATATAAACACACTGAGATTTTCTCACGTGATTTATCCATTATTTTGGATATCGGTATAGAGAGAGAAAAAAAAAAAAGATTGCATCTGTCCATTGAGAAATGAACTTCAGAGGATAAGTCACGAACGAGTATAATTATAAATACACATACCTTATGCAAAATATATACATATGTATATATAGCAGATGCATATATATACATATATGTGCACTCTGTAATTATGAAGTACTCAAATACATTTTCCCGAAAATGTACACCAAATGCGTCGTTAAATATTAACAGACATTGTGACAACATATATAAGTATACGTATACAAATTGGATTGGTCAAAAGTTTCTAGGTAATTTTAAAAATTCAATTTACATTCTTTTTCGAAATTCATTTAGCCTAATCTTTTCCTTTTTCTTTTCTTTTCTCTGTGTTTTTCTTTTTTTTTTTTTTCTTTTTTTATCAGATTGTAAAATTACAAACTTCTAGTAGTTCGTTTGAACGATCTGTAAGGAGAAAGAAATATAGGAAAAAATTAGACGTTGAAATGTTTCGAGAAAGAGTACATACGATTTGTTTGAAATCACTTGGAAACTTTTTGCCGAGCCTTTCAAATAAAAATAAAATTTTCAATGAGTCCGTGTAACTACAAGAAAATGTGCTATATACATACATACGTACATACATACATACAAACATACATATTATTATAATATAAAAAAAAAAAGAAAAAGAAAAAAGAAAGAGAGATAGGGAAGGTGTACGATGATGTTAAGAAAAAGAAAAAAAGAAGCAAAAAAAGAAAAAATTGAATCACGCAGAGAATTACAAGATATGATTTTTGAAGAAAAAATTTCTTCGGTCGATTGCAACGTAGCTTCTCGATAGAGAGAGAAAGAGAGAGAGAGAGAGAGAGAGAGAAAAAAAAAAGAAGAAACAAAGAAAAATTATCTCTAATGTGCAAAAAAAAAAAAAAAGAAGAAGCGTCGACTTTCTAATGCGGGAAGAATACTTTCATAGTTGTTAGGTTATACGATTTGCTGTTATCTGTTGGACGACCATTCTTATATTCCTCTATAACAATTATTAAATTAGAATTAAACTTCTTCAAATTTAAACATTTTCAATAGACGTTATTATTTCATCTTGTTTTAGCTAATCTTTGCTTTTGCAAACTATAATAATTAGTCCAGATTATAACACGATCGTATTGTTTTCGATTAGAACGTAATAGAAACAAAACTTATCTGCATCGTCCTTTACTTCTTTACTCGAAACATAATACGTATAAATAGTAGAAAAAAAAAATTGTAAATCTGTAAACTACATCAATTTTTCTACTTTGATTTATTTATTTATTTATTTATTTATTTATTTATTTACTTATTTATTTTTCTTTTCTTTTCTACTATTTTTTTTTTCTTTTTTTTTTTTCTTCTTTTCTTTCTTTAATTTATTTTCGATAGTTCGCCGCGAAAAGTGAAGCTGAAATTTTCGAAAGTGGGATGATTTCCTAAACGGCAATAAATATCTTATAAATAAGAATTCTATATTCTCCAATGATGACGATGATAATAATGATATAATGTCTCTATTTGTACAATTAATTAATTAATTAATTGATTAATTAATTACAAGTTAAAAATATAGACTGGAGGAGTAACATTTTTCATAGTTTTCGCGAGAAAGAATCGATAAAGAAGATAGTTTCGATGGTACTAGTTTTAAAAATAATTCATCAGAATAAAAAAGAAAAAAAGAAAAAAAAAATCAGAGGATAAGAAATATGAATAAATAGGACAGCCAAGGTTTCTCTATATTCAGATTATAAAAATGATTTTGTGAATGGTCGCTGTTAACCATCAGAAGCAGTGAACGTGGAAAAGTATATATATATGTATATATATATATATATATATATATATATATATATATATATATATATATAATGCTACGAATACTGAGATATGTGGCAACGTATTGGTCGATGATTACAAATATGGAAAAGGAAAGATAATTAAATAAATAAATAAATAAATAAATAAATAAATAAAATAAAATAAATAATTAAATAAATAAATAAATGTGGCCCGTGCCTTTAAAATACATACTTGCAAAGAGGAAGAGGAGAGAGAGAGCGGGAGAGAGAGAGAGAGAGCTGACATACATAGATTGAAAGAGATATTATCGATCGAAATCGAGACTCTACTTAACGAAGGACGAATTGGCATGAGATGAGAATTCGATAAAATGATTTTTTTTCTCTCAATTAACAACATCAATAATAACAACAACAACAAGCGAACAAACAAAAATAAAATAATCGAACGTGTAAAATTGGAAATACATATGTAGATACGTATATATTTCTCTATTCTATATATTCTTTTTGTTGTTTCTTTTGTCCTCTCATATAAATATTCTATAAAAGAAATAAATGTTATGTAGGTTTACATTAAAACGCGGACGTTAATCTTTGAACGCGTTTGATGTGTGGGTATTTTCAAGGATTATACGTAAAAAAAAAAAAAAAAAAAAAAGAAAAAGAAAAAGGAAAAGGAAAAAAAAAATAATAAGAAAAAAAGAGGAAAAAAAATAATACAATAAGAATTGCTACAATAATGATCGTACTACATTAGAGCGAATGTTTCCATTTAGTTCGATAAATCGTTTGAAAGTGCATAGTCATACGCCGGAAATATTAGTTGCACAAGGAAGGACATGGAAAATCGTTTTTACAAACCTCCGATGTATTAATATGTGACTATAACTTTTTCATGATCTAACAAAATTGTCGTTCGAATGTAATTAATAAAGAAAAAAAAAAAAAAATAAAAGAATAAAGAATAAAAAATTTTTCAATCACGATGAAGTTTCAATGTCATCGAGAATTATCTATAGAGCTGTTTTGACTGTATCTCTACCTCATGTTAAAAGAAATATTTTTGTCTAACTTGTACGAATTTGAACATGTAAAGTGAGTAAAGAATGATATTCTAATTTAATTATTATTATCAGTATTATTAGCTATACTTGTTGTAACTAATTGGACTAATGTAAAACAATGATTCTCATTAATGAGAACACATATGAGGTTATAATAATGTACGTTATTTTAGAAATATTTACAAAGGTCATATAAAAAATTGAAAAACATTGAGATTCACAAATGTAAAAATTGAAGGAACTGAAATCACGTCAAATTTGTTCTCTTTTTTTCCTTCTTTTAATGGATCATTTATATAACTTATTTTTACACGAACAAGTTTGATAAACGAACTGAAACATATCGAGTGCAGCTCTAAATATAAAACAAAAATAAAATCAAAAATAAACAAAGAGAAAACAAAAGAAATAAAATATCGTCGTCGAAACGATTTTCATCCTTCCTCGATGCGCTGAACAGTGATAGAATGAAACTAAAACTTGGAAGAAAAAAAACAACAACAAAAGAATTACAAATTGAAGAAAGAAAAAAAGAAACAAGAAGAGACAATTTCGTACGCGACAAAAAAAGAATTTCAAAATGATATGTGAATAGGATGTTTGTTCTGTTACAGAAAAAGAAAAAAAAAAAAAAGAAAAAAATGAAGAAGAAAAGAAAAAAGAAAAAATGCGTATTGTAATTATTACATAATTATCTCGTTCGTTTGTAAATATTTTTAAAGGGGGAGGAGGAGGAGGAGGAGGAGGAGGAGGAGGAGGAGGAGGAGGAGGAGGAGGAGGAGGAGGAGGAGGAGGAAACCAAAAGGGAGGAAGAGCGCAGCGATTTTTATATGAATTCAAATTAGGACGTTCTCTCGTTGTAGGTGTGACAATTATACGGTGCTTCAAAATTTTTTTGAAGGGTTATGATGAGAAACATTAAAAAAGAAAAAAAAAGAAAAAAGAAGAAAACGAATAAATAAATAAATAAATAAATAAATAAAAGGAAAAGAGAAAAGAATAATGCCAAAAAGTCAACAACAAATGTTTCGTTGATTACAGTCTTCGATCGGACACGATTTCCTAGATTTAAAGAAAGAAAAGGAAATTAATTATGAAAAAAAAAGAAAACATAAAGGAGTAAAACGAAAGCTAAAAACAATAACGATAATAATAATAATAATAATAATAATAATAATAATAATAATAATAATAATAAAAATAATAATAATAATAATAATAATAAAAATAATAGTAATAATAACAACAACAACAACAACAACAATAATAATAATAATAATAATAATAATTATAATAATAATTATAATAATAATAACAAATTTTCGCATGGTACCAACATTCGCCTTTAACGGGATAACTTTGACAAAATAATTTTCATTGTCAAAATCCGAGAAAAAGAAAGAGAGAATAAGAAAAAATGAAAAAGAGAGAAAAAGAGAGACGTATGATAGTTTCTTAAAAAATTAAAGAAGGAAGAAGAAACGAATTAAAGAGAAAAAGAGAAAGAAAAGTAATTGTTATTACATTATATACAAATTCTTTTCATCTCGTACTTATCATTGAATGTTTAAAAACAACCATGCAACAACAAAATAATAACAATAATAATAACAACAATAACAACAACAACAACAACAATAACAAATGAAAGAAAAAGAAAGAAATTAACAAAGCTCTTTTAATCTTATCGAGTCGTGTAATAAAAAAAAAAAAAAAAAAAAAAAAAACAGAGAGAAAGCACAAATTATTACATGT